GTGGTTCACATTAAATACCCACGGGCTGCCCTGGTATATGACCGGCATTATGTACCTGATTATCGGGTAGTACGTGTAGGCGACGATACATTTAGTGGTTGAAATTCTTCCGTATCATTAAATGTCTGATTGTGAATAAACAGTATACAGCTTTATTGATCTACAACGTCCAATATTAAGATATGGTTCTAATTTGCCACACGTTATACACAACAACTCAGTTAAATAAACATCGTCTGCTTTGTCATACTTTATTCTTCACTAAGAGTCGTAAAATGGCTAACCAAATATAACGATTACTCGCCTCTAGATACAGCGTGGCGACAGCTATATTTGAATCTTACTCAATATTACTGAATCACTCGTAGTGTGTATGTAAGTTCATTCCAGAATAAATTAGCACATTTACAATTTGTCAGTCCCATGGACCAACGGGACAATGGTTTACCGTAAGTTCTACGGTCGTTTGTCATTCATTTTGTAATGTCTAATTTTACTGATTATGATTTTATCGTTAATCGATGACTGACGGATTCTATCTGGAGCCACGGGTCCATCATTGTTTTATTTCTATCGACAGGTGAGTCCTCGTCCGCACACCGGCCCCGATTCGTCATCAAACGGTTACGTCACGCGCCATCTGGCGGGGTTCCTTATTGCAGTTCATGCATTTTCGCGCCAGTTTTCGTTTTGTCTCTTTGTATCTGAAATAAAGGAAAATATTGGGGCTGGAAGTCTTTGTTATTAGTTTTCTGGGTCACGAGATTTAGTTCAGTGTCTTTGTGAATTGTTCATGCAGGTGTCGAATATATGTGACGTTTCGTCTTTATTGTGTCTTCACCAGCATACAGAAAAAGACGTCCATACGTTAGGAATTGAAACTTATGTCCAAATCTTTTGTTAATATATTTGCAATTAAAGGTTTTTCAACTAAACCCTAAACGTCTTTTTCTCGGTCCTATTTTGCCCGCAAAACTCTTTCTCTCTCTTTAAAAAAATATCTCCGTAGATTATACACACGAAATTCAATTCAGAATATAAAATGTATTTAAAAATAAATGTCATGATGCTGTTTCAAAATCTAAAAATATCGTTATATATATATTTAACTTAAACTAAAAACTGTAAATATACATATTTAAATAGATAAATCATGTACGTTTTTATTTTGTTTCAGCTAAAAGGAATCGGCTTTTAATGTAGCTCTAATAAGTCTTTTTTGAAACACTGATTAATACCTATTTAGCTTTATATCTGTCCTGCCTACAAATCACTTATAACAGATATGATTTCATATTTATGATTTTCACAAATGTTTTTAATTTTGTACTTTAAAACAGTTCAGCTAAGTGTACTCAACTAAGACGTCCGCTTCCCTCTTTCTTATTAAAATGAGTAGGTACAATCAGATGCCGGTAAAACACTAAACCGGAACTGTGTGTATCGAACATCGTTAGCTTATACGGAAATCAAACATTAAAAAGAAATTTAAAATTGATGTTATTTCAACGAAGTGACAAACTAATTATAATAATATGTACAGTATTTGTATAAATGTGATATTTTTGAAGCCAAGCACACAGATATTTTAACCACATAATTAAGATTCAAATTTAAAAATGACAATTACGGTGACATAGGGGTACTGTTCTTAGTGCTGTGTTAAAGTACAACGTGTGTGCAATGTCCGGCTATTACTACAGTACTATTATTTCTTTATTTCCTCCATTTTGAAGAGTTACAAGAACATATATATACAAGTTATGTAATGGTCAATTCATAATTAAATAGACTTATGCACAAAAATAACATGAAACATAAAGACATTGGCCTATGATAAAATGCACATGCATTGCATTACGGTTTTATCTATGATACAGTTGCATCATCTTAACAACAAAAATGACACAAAGCATCACAAAGTGTTCATTAACCCATCTATAAATTATATTTACGGTGACGTATGGGGTACTGTCCTAATACTGTGTTTAAGTACATACTACTATAAATGTGTGGAATGTCACGCTATATCACGTGATCATGTGACACGACTCGACAGTACCGGGTACACTCCCCGCACTAGCCCCGAATGTTATCTAACCCAACCTTTACAAAATCTAGCATGGCGAACAGAAACAAAAGAAAAGTCTCACAGTCCAATTAATGTACTGATGTGAACTTTCACACGATACGCCTGGAATATTGATGACGTCTTCAGATAGCTGGTTGATACAGTGCAGACTGTTGACAATAGACTCATGTTTGGTTCAAAAACCTCGGATAACAAAAAATTAATAGCATGCGGTTACAATCATATTTGAAAGGATATGTTGATTTTTGTAAAAGAACCTGATACTTTTTTTCCTGAGTTTTTTTGAGTGTTCATATTTCTGTTGAATGTACATACATCATAATTCACGTATCATGAACAATTGTACAATATGAAGGGAAATGACGTAATATATCTACCATCATTTTTTTAACATATCTTTTTTACAATTCGTGTCATTTAGTCCTGTTTTAAGTGTGTTTTTACTTTGTTTTTCTTTTAGTTTTAACATTTGATTCGAACCGTGACATTTATGAATGAAAACATATCATTTCCACGTAGGCCAAACGCGTAAAAAGGCTCGTGATTCACACGAAAGATCACGTGAACCCAAGTATAAAGATACGATCACGTGATCGTCGCGACAAAACGACTTGCTCTCCGTATAATCTGTTCGATCAAGTACTACTGGGACAGGAATCTGATTCACGATGGATTATAACAACGGTAGTACGTGTACGAAAAACTCCGAAATGCAGTATTTAGTAATGTCTATTACAAACCCTTACTCATTTTATATAATTACGTTCATTGCTCAGAAATGTTTTCTGTCAAAGATCTGCTCAGTCAAGAGTCTATGCTCTAATAACTTGTTTCCTCTCCTTTTAATATCAAATAAAAAAATAAATAGATCTATGTCTCAATTAAAACAAAACAAAAGTATTTGTCTTTTCAATTGGAAACAAAAATACATCATTCTTCACTTAATGATTAACATTCAAGTTAATTCATTATTGCGAAATCGACAACACCACACCTACCGGATGTTGAACTTAAATCAATTATTTCCGGAAATCTTAAACTAGTTTTTATTTTGTTAACAAGTACTTCAATGACAACAACCGCCCTAGTTCGTTAAAAGGAATGCAATACAACGTGTATTATCATCTTTCACTGAAATAGAAAAAATAACATGACGATAGTGATGGTGGATTTTTCCAATTCGACCCTCCCTTGGATCTGTGGTTATAATTTACAGTCCAGACGAGCCCCGAATCCCTCCCAAACCGTCTCAAATTACACCCCTCTTGCCAATAATTCCACGTGTTTTGTTGGAAAAAATTCTGATCGTCCAAGTCATTCTACAGACAATGTGATTCGTGTCCCGTATCCTTCCAATTACACATTTTTTGTTTTGATAATAAACGGAACTATCCTAAGCTTGTTTTGGATTTAAGTGTGTTAACGTGAATCAAAAGAATTCCTTAGGTTTTACCTCATCGCCTACCTATTTCATCAATCAGTCAATCATGTCCTTTATTATATTCCTCTGGTAAAAGGGAGTATATATTTTTTTCTTTTTATTTGAAGTTGATGCGGTCTCGTTTTAATATGAAAATAAAAATAAAAATAACTATATATAGCAGGCAGATGAAGAGTGTTGGGTCAGAATGCGATACTGAAGTGACAACTCATACTAATACTTTGTCTTCATGTACATTTTAATTTACGGGGGAATTGGAATTTCCATCATATCAAGAAAACAAATATTTATTCCACATTTTAGTTGCGAGTCAAGTTGTCTTATTTTGGGGAATCTCTTCATTTTGAATGAAGGAATTGAAATACATGCGAGTGAACTGAAACTGAATTCAACGCAGCGAAAACATAGTCCTGAACGGATTTCCAAAGTTGTCATGAACATGAGGGCTTATAAGAAATTTGCATATTCCAAACTTTTACTGATCACAAAGGTGATTCGAGGTTTATTTTCAGCGTGTAGTGTACGTGTTATGTCACATGTTATTGGGTACTGAGAAAATTTCGAGAACAGTTTGAATACTTAAATACTCTGAATAAATCTCCTCACATATTTCTGTAATTGTGTTCCGTCATGTTAATGTTGTATTTGAAATCTGAATTACAAATTCGGCTAATATAGTTGTCGACTGTACATTGATTGGCACCATTGTTTCCCGGTGTCCAGTTCCTCGTTGTGGTCAGTATCGACTAGCCACTGTCCATTCCTGACTAAGCATCCCCCTAATTGATTGGTTCCTCGTTATCGATGTCGCAGTAATTGCTCTGCCTAATTACTGTACTATATGACTCGTTAGAGGACGCTTTGCTCGGGGATCGGTCGCGCGCCACGTGGATGCTTTACAGCAGTAAGTACACATAATTATCGACTAAATCGTATGAAGTCGTGATTATACATTTTCCGGAGTAATCAAGTTAAGTCCAGTCATACCGGGACGTCCACTTCCGGTCAATAATATTGATAATTCACATAATCTGCATATTTCTGTCGTGGTTCACAGATGGAGCCTTATTCATTTGCCTATCTGTGTGTAAAATGTAATTCCGGGAACGATAAACTGGGGAGTTGATTATCCATTTTATTTCAATATCCATAATATAGATATAATAAAAATACACTGTATCTAGTTTCGATAAGCCATTGAGCAAAAACGCTTGTTTTCCACATGCCAATGCTTAATCAGGATTTCTGAACGATGAAACATTATTCCCACTTCCGTCAGCAACAGAGCACGTATGTAACTTACACGTGTAATGCGCTTGGTCACGACATCTGTTTCGAGAGACTGGCGGATTTGTCTATTTTACCCCCGGCTGGTAACCGTATGTTGGTACACGATTTCGGAATTATTGCAGAATTACCATCACGTGGTAGAAAAGAAAACAACTACATATACTACATGTAGGAATTTATAGTTATGAACACTAATAAGAGCCGTATACAAGAATTAAAAAAAGAAACTACATATACATTTTCTAACGCCATGTACTTGCACAGAAGATATCTGCAAATACTCTCAATTTATATTAAGAAATAGAAACATTTACACATTTAACAAATAAGGGAGGTTCATGGATGCAGTTCTGTCAATAAATGGAAAATGGAAATTAAAATATGTCATTTTGAAGAAAACGTGCATTTTTTAATCATATCATATCTTTATAAAGAGCATATAATAATCACCATTACCTACCCCACCATTTCATACAAAGATATGATAAGTGCATCATGCATATGGTTGTTTAGCCTGAGTTTCTTCTGTCCCTGACACCAGTTAAGACATGTTGACAGATAGATGTCTGGTGTAGGGGCCGCCCCCACACCAGACATTTATCTGTCAAGTCTGGTGTCAGGGCCAGAGGAAACTTGGATAGTCCGTTTGATTTTCCTGTGTTTATCGTCCTTTTAACTGCTAAATTATTTTTTGAAGGAGATGCCATGTGTGTATTGTTTTATGTGTGCCTCTTTGAGATGGAATGGATTCAATGCTTAGTTTATAGTGCTGTACACTGTACCCAACAAAATACCATGCCGAAACCACCAAGCACAGTATTCCACTCGTTAACAGTTTTTCTTACAACGGATAAACTAGTCTTTAGCAGGGAAGAACGGCTAACATTTTAACGAATCCGATATGCCCGGGTCTGAGGACAGAAGAATTTAACATTTTTTTTTTTGCCACGGAAAGTTCAACACTAAGACCAGAAGTGAGATATTGCAAAGTAAGGCGCTAGGAAATGAAATAAAGAGGAAGTAGAAAAGAGATCAAAATAGAAATGAGTATAGCAGATTCATTTTGGTCGTTTTTGTGTCCAAACGCAGATAGTGCAAAAGCAAATTCCCAATTGTGTAGGTAGTTTCCACATCAGTCGCCTCTTACGAACCAAGCTGTGAATAACAGCAGGTATATTAAAATTATATCGTATCATGTCTGTGTATACATCTGACGTTTCAGATTGCAATAGTGCGTTTACATCTGGATATATATCACCAGGGCTGTAAATTTCAATATCTACCCATAGATGTCGTTCCATCACAATATAGGTAGAGGTTGGTGTGTGTGTGGTGCTGTTTAATAGATTTGCATCATTGCTTCTCGACAATGGCGGACAAAACGAAGCAAAGGACGGAATATTGACGTCACGTTACCAAAAGATTGGAATGACAATAAAATGTTAGAAACCCATTCTTGTTTTAATTTGCCGATAACAAACGAAGAGTTCCGTCTAAACTGGCAACCTGTATAATACGACACCTTCCATTAAATCAGATTGTGAAATACTGGACCTTGTATATCAAACCTGATTCGGTAACTGAGTATGTGGCCCAGATTCACAAATTATAAAACAAATTGCTGGATAGAAGTTATCAGCGAGATAACTATCGACTGTTGGTGAAATTATCGCGACTATACAAACACAAATTGATGTAGGGGAGGTAACTCGTATAAGACGAACAGAAACCGACCAGCATTGGCTATAATCAATAGGTCACATCAGTGCTGAACCTTAATTGGACAGTTGTGTGCGAAAAGACAAGTACTACCTTTGATGTTTATAACCCTTGTAATTTATTTGATTTCACGTTTTAAAAAAACTGAGCAAGTATTCATTCAACTGCAGCCGCGCTATGATACATATTTCTGAGATAATGCGGGGGTCAACCTTAGAAAATAAAGTCTCATAATGTTCAGACGAGAGCTTGAAATGTTCTCCCATAGACAGTTACTTGAAATATCAATATGAGAAAATAACACCCTTACCCCAAACCTGTCTCCCGTGCTTCGCGTTGAACCCATATCCCCCCACCCGCCTCCCGCCCCACACTCAACCGTTTCCCCCTAACAAGCTGTATCCACCTCTGAGGAAGTGACGTCACCACATTATCCATTTGTCGTAGAGGAGGAGGTCGTTAAAGCTGATGTCAGTGTTACTGACGGGTACACTAAGTTTAACACAGTCCACATTGACGTAACTGTAACCCTCCGGCAACGTGAACGATTCGCGCAGTTTACGTTTCTTCACGTTATAACACTCCACCGTTCTGACGTCACAGTCTTTCTGGAAGCTCTTCCCACCAATTAAATACAAATGTGGTCCTGAAATGAAATTAAACATAGAAATATTAGTTCACTGAGACTCACTAATAAAGGTACATTTTTGTGTATACTGAAGTGCTAGAAGAGAATGTAGGTTTAACGGTTAATTTGATTTAGGACGTGCTGCTGTATGTGTTATAATGTATGTCACAGGAACCTGAGAATTTGTTACAGCTATAAAGTTGATCTTAACCCCCTAAAACATGTAAAATTACTCTCAACACCTTAGGTTAGGTCCAAATATAGCTGTAACAAATTCTCAAGTCCTTGTTATGTATGCGTGTATGTGTACCGGAGACGGCGTATGTTGGTGTATTTGCCCCCTGCGGACCTGATGCCGACTTTATAGTGTATCCGACTGAAATATCATGCCAAACGCACCCGCCATAATCACATTACAACTGGTTAATCAGTTGTTGTGATAACCAGAAAAGCTAAACATTTAGCATGGAATAACAAATACCATTTTTATAGAATTAGGTATGTCACGGATTAGGCGTACAGACCATTGCCTGCCTCACTAGATCAAACGTTAACACTTAGGCCAAAAGTTAAGTATTATTAAGCAAGGCTCTAGACAAAAATATTGTTAGGGAGTGAAGAGAAAATAGACAGATTCCAAACGCTGTGATGGGTGCAGCAGGTTAACTTTGGTCGCCCACAAGCAGAGGGCGAATCCCCAATCCTGAGCAACATACATAATCAGAGTTGGTACAATATGTAACAGTAGGTACAATATTTTCACAATCCCCGAACTGTTAGGGTGAGTTATGTCGATTATACTGTACACAAAAACAGAACTGATCTAAGGCACAGCTGTGTAGCCAAGGCGTGTCTAGACGAGCAAACATGCCCTCGCCCCGACCCCCGTACGTACCGAGCATTATGGCGCCAGCGTTGGCCCGGGGGTTGAAGATGTTGGGGTGGAACACATCCCAGCATGTTTCCCTCCTTGTATCACCCTTACTACGGGTGTTAAAGCTACAGATGGCCGACTCATCCTTCTCTGACCACGTCTCCTGGTCAAATCCGCGACCTTCAAAGGAAAACAGCTGACAGTCACCAGAGGTTCACTCGGTAATCTGACTTAAGTCATACTATGACCAAAGGATAACAGCATCACTACCGCTTTAATAAGCCAATAATATTTTGTATTTACTAGTCATACTCACCCGAGACAACGTAGATATATTTTCCGACGCTGACCATATTATGTTTTTCCCGTTCGTGGGGCAAAATAACGCCTTGTATAGGCTCGTCCCATTCGTTCGCAACGGCGTCGTATACCCTGAAAATAACAGACGTATTGGATATGACCACAGGGACCTGATCATTTGTTACAGTTTAGCCAAGTCTTGACCTAAGCTGATGTGTTTAGATCGACTGTCGGTAAAAAAAAGTTACCCTCAGTGTATGATGGTAAACCAGTATACCATCGTTTTCACCTTAAGTTTAATCTAAATCCCTAAAACGTCTAATAGTACACCGAACACTAATAGTTTTACTCCAAACACAGTTAACATCATTTGAATATATAGTGTATAACAAAAAAATGGCAATTAGCAACAAAACACATGCTATCAGTGGCGAAGATTTTTTTTCTCTGTCTTGATGGTGAGAAGGTTAATAATGAAAACTATCACTGACTTACCAGAAGACGTTAGAACACTGATGTTTAAGGTTGCTGATACCCCCGGAAACGTAAAGGCTGCCGTCATTCACACAAGCGGCGTGGTCGGCCCGGGGGCGGGGCAGACAGTTGATGGCGGTCCAGGTGTTGAGTACCGGGTCATACGACTCGCATAGGTCCGTCACACCACCGCCGTTGATCTCCCCTCCTACGACACCAAACGAGACCAGTATTGATTTAAACATGATTTAAACAGGAATAGATATATTTAAGAACAAGCATATGAGGAGAAAGCTCATCCATATTGAACAATGCTTTAATTATACCTATTAAAGATTATCATATGTTTTTTTTTTTTGATTAATTAAATATGTAAAATTGTCAAGAGGCTGCGCATCTTTGACTGATACATATAACTTTTTTTATTTACTTCCTAAAATATCAGCATGATCACTTCATGTCACATTTTCACCAGTAAAACCACGGAATTAGATTAGTTAGAAATGTTATTTAAGTCCTTGGTAAAACTTACCATTAGGAGTTTAAAAATGGGTTATCAAGCACTTTACGTTTTTTTAAGCGGTATTGACATGAATTTTCTTGTTGTACAGTAATACTCGGATATAAAGCATACAAACATTGTGATATTATGAAGCAACCCGACGGACTGTAGATAAACCAGATGCATATATGCCTTCTTTGTAACAATAAATGAGGGTTCTACTTTCAAAATCCGAGAGTTCTCTTCTTATACCTTGCCTCGCTATGAACAGTCAATGCATACATCATCCGCTACAGTAGTCATAATGTCATACTTTTTATCTTTCTTGGTAATCGAATGAGACGCATAAATAAAAATGAAGCAAGCAAGCTAGACCTCTGTTGCATATCTGTTAGTTGTCTTTCACTTATAAACATTTTCTTCCGGTTGGTAAGTATGGATTATGAAAAGTTCTTTTTGCACAACCAATAAGAGTTTCTATGTGACGTTTCGGTACATACTGGTACGGTATGTACACAGTCACCTTCATCAGACAAATGACCAGTGAAGCGTATGAGTTGTTCACAAAATCGATGTCGATTCGGCTACGCTGTAAGCGTCCTCATTCGTATTTTCTTTAGTGTGATATATCTGTCCGTATGTTTTGGTTAAAAATCCATCTATGATTACGGGAGTGTATCTGCTTTTTCATCATGTATCTAATGTTCTACTGTTTCACACGGAGAATTGACGTCTATAACTTCATTTATCATGTAAGTCATGGCCAATAGACTCACCTGTGACGTAGATACAGCCATTGAGAACGTCGGCGGTGTGCCGACATCTCGCCTCAAGCAAGGATGCTCGGCCGCTCCATCGACCGGAGGCGGGGTCGTAACGCCACGTGTTCGCCCGGTACTGTCCAGACTCCCAATCTTTCCCGCCAATAATGTAGAGACATCCGTCCAGTACAACTGGCCGGAAGCCCACGAGATGTGTTAGCTTGTTGAAGACGATTGAGTTACACTTTGGGAAGATCCGGGTCTTGGTCCATGGATCCACCATAAAGTACTGCACGCGCGGGCTACCGGAAGTCTTGTTGAACAGGAAGATGAAGTCGTAAGACTTCATACCGAGAATTGCGTCGTCCATCTTTTTATATTTGTGATTTTCCTTTTTGAAAATCTGTTCGGGTCATTTAGATAGCTGGAAGACAGAATATAATAAGTACTATAACATGATATACTCGACATAAGGATTAACTGCGGTTGAAAGTGTAGTTTGTGAATCTTTGTATACTTTACATATGTATTGCTAAGAACGACGTACGGAAGAATTGGCGTGCTTTTTTCAGACACGCTTCTTGTGCCTCAACTTAAGATTAAGAGATGGTTTGTTTGTGAATGCATTGGTTATACGTTGTTTTAGCGCCAAAAAAACCCATGTGTGTGTTGCTTTTGATAGGTATTTAGTTGTTTCCGGAAGTGATAGTGCTATTGGTCGGTTGTTTGGTTTCCAGAAATATCCATGTCTGTGTTCCTTTGGGAGACAGTTGGTTCATTTTTTAGTTTGAATTGGACGCAGAGTTTCATTCTGTCACATACAAACCAGTTGGGGGTTAAGAAAATGTAAAGAGAGAAAAAATCAGGACAAAACAAAGCAAATATCAATATTCAAGTAGGTAGAATAAAAGATACCCGAAAATGGATTCATCCCTCTCGAAGTTTTTGGAACGACTCTGGCAGATTATACTTGACATTGATAAAGTTGAGCAATGGAGTGTCACACAATACGCAAGGGGTAAACATTAAAAAATGTTCCACAATTCTATCAAAATCAATATTTAAATTGTGTGAAGTACTGATGATACATAATATCAAAGTACTTATATTTAAAACATATGCTACATCATATACACTTTACATCACAAAGTACTCGATCCAAGTACGGTTTGTGAATTGAATCTTAAAATCATATCAATTATATATGTATATAAACTATACTTAAATCTGCAACACGAAATCAATTCATTATTCAGCAAGGTTCGCACAAAAATGTCGGTGAGCGTCTTGATCAAATTTGGATTTGACCTTCTAGATGTTACGGTGCGGCCATGTGGAGTTCTTAGATTCTGTACGTGTACATCGACTCTCGCGTTTAAATAACGCGAACAATAGGTAACAACATGTGTGCACTTTCTTGTTACTGTTAATTAACTATATATATGGGTATATTTATCAACTATACCTGATAGAAATATTGTCATGTGTCGTTCATTCTCCAACAGGAAGTGGTGTGTGGTTTGTAGCAGGTACTGTTTTACCCGTAATCAGCCCGTGTATATAAAGTATATCAATGTTTAAGTAACCCGTTCCTTTGCGAATACCCAGATTAAATATACATATCTGTATTTACACTGATCTCGACTTTACATGTGATCGTGTTTGTCATTAAACTTCATCTGAAGATCAGTCTTCAAAGTAAATATATGCATTAGTGTTTTCATACTCGTAAACAAATTATTGAAATAAGTTGAATGAAGTTAATCAAATAATGATAAATGACCAACAGAGGAACTAGCCCATCGTTTGATGGTAAGGTCTTGCATACTATACCAGTAACTACCGACTATGTACCCAATGTATTGGGGATACCGAATCTTTTGTTAAGTTTGGGTACCAGTATATAAAATACCAATATATCAAAGACAAACATTATAAGTACGGAACATCATATATTGTACTTACAGCTTCAGGACAGGCGATTGATCACGTCAATATTACATCCTCGTCACAAAACATTTAATAAACGCTTTAATAACTTTGATTAAAAATATCACATTGTACTTTTAATAGTCGTTAAGGTATAGGGTATCGCCTTAACTCGGTAATCTGGTACCCGTGAACATAGCGTTAATCGGTGTTTAGTTTCGGGAGCAAGTAAGTGTAGATTATAAGTTAATTACTGGTACAGTGTGTATACTATTCTGTAAGCCAGGCGATCGCGGAAAGTTCTTTAAGCTTAAAATGCGCCGTTCAAAAACAAAATGTCATATAAGATGTATATTATATTTATATATTAAAATAGCACTACGCGTTGACAAATTAGTGTGTACATGTGTAATACACAGAAAGTTGAATGTAGCTGACTGATCTTTACAATATATAAAACCATTGAAGAGTTTATATATATATATATAAATCGTATAACTCCAGGTTCGAATTAAGTTTAAATGAATCCATGAAATTGATAGTGATACGCGTTTGAATGGTTAACATGTATATAATTCACTGTGTGTTAAGCGACTCTTGTGACCGGCTGTGTTAACAGTAGTATAATAGAACTAAAGAAATCACACAATAACATGCAAAACTTCAGTGACATCACGAAAGTACAGCTGAATAAGATATCATCATAATCATGTAAAGTACTCAATACCTCCGGACAGTAAAACCTCGTTATATTGACATAACTTGTAAAATGAAAATTTGGCATTATAAAAGGGTTTGGCAATAGATGGAAGGAGACTTGAACATTGAAAAGATAAACATGAGATATGTCGGCGATGATAGCCTTAGCGAGGTAGCAAATGAAATGACGGGCATTGTATCGAGGTTTTACTGTAATTAATATGAGCCAGTAAAATACATTGTCTAATATCAAAACGTTGATCGTTTAATAAGAATATATATGAACATATCGAGATAGAAAAAGTGAGATATTGCAGCCCAGAATGATGATGTGATTTTGTGATATCTCATTGACCGTTCGTTCGACTGTTCAGAATATATTTCTCGACATAAATTAAAGGCTGGGCAGACGAAATGGAGGGGCCTGCTTTATCTCTACGAGAATATTAATTACCTTTGTTTCCCTGTACCAAACACGTTTTTATGAGTAGTTTATGAAATATGCTCTAGGTGCAGAAATATGTACTCATTGACCCCACGTAAACAGTCTCGTTCTTAATCCGGTACATGTGGCAGATGATTTAGCAATCGCCTCAGCACCAAGCAACAACACCATCCTTTCCGTGGGATTCTGTCCGTCGTGTTTTCCCGCGTGCACCAGTCGCCTGCTTGTTGCATGAACTGGCCGGCCTGACGTCATTCACTTTTTCATCTTCAGCGACCGCTTTGTTAGAAAACCTCAAAGTTCACCAGCCCATTATTTATGTCATGACAACGTCGGTACTGAACTAATCCTCTATTCATAAATCGGATAATCTATTCTGATACTAATCAAATGTTCTTCCTGAATGTGTTAGGTGGTACAGTTATGATACAAAATGTACTTGTCTACTTCTTATGGTATTTGTTTGATGGAGCGTTTGATTATCATCTTTTCCTGTTAGCTAATCCGTTGTCTGTTAAATCAATGCTTAGATTATTAGCTGAATCTGGTGTAAATTGCTTAAGTCAGTTGATATGTGTTTAAAAAGATCAGCACTGAATCTGACACGTAAGTGTAATGCACCGAGTGACCCTCAACACTATGTTCCGGATATTTTTCACGACAGCCGTTTTATTACTATGAATATTAGTAGGTTCATTCAATTTCCGGTACGAGGTAAACAATTTTTTTAAGACAGGTAGGAATTTTGTATTATGTGTATCCTAGGTTAGATATTTACATATTTTTAGAGTGATCTTTTAATGTATGGGCTATTATTTCATTTTAGAAAGCTTTTCAGGATACAATGATACGTCTGTTTACATAAATAAATAGTTTATTTTAATATCTAAGCTTGAAATGACATGGAATATTTTGTGGTTTTCTGAAAGAAACTGTCCATGACCGAGACAAATATCGACGTAAATTCATAACCACTGAACTCAATGTATATGTAAATAAATATTGCGATTGATCATAATTTGATAAGTATCCTCTGGTACAAAAATACATGAAGATAGGACAAAAACCTGTTCACAGGACGAAAACGTACTTGAAAAACTTTAAATCCTGACTATAAATTGGGATATGATATATATCACGTAAACATAGTATTACTACAGGTGTTTAAAATTCTGACTTTAAATTGAGATATATATTATATAAAAAAAAATAACGGTATAAAAAGTACATTTTTTAATTATATACAATGTACCCTATATTTTATATATATATGGTAAATATCTCAGTAAGAATTTCAAACACCTGTGAACAGATTATATATAATAATATATAGCTCGACAACAGGAAAGCACCAAGTAGTACCCGTTATTAGCTCCCCCAAACTCTTTTTTCTAGTTATTATCACAACATCAAATATGTAAACATGCATGACTCTGTGAAGGATTGAAATTAAAGACATAAAAAATAAATCTGATGAATTCTAGATCTACAATGTAGAGGATTCTTCCCATTTCAGAGTCATACAAATAGTTTGGGAATAAAAACACTTGACTGTTATACTTTGTAATACAATGCAAGTTAATGCAGCATATATCAAAGCATGATGATTTCTTCCATAATTTCTTAACATTTTTCAAGCCCAATCTAAATTAAGTCAAATCCGAACTGCACAGACATCTATCTGTCAGAATGTCTTAAACTAGTGATGGAGCCAGAGGAAACTCAAGCTAATTGTTATTTGATAATAAATTTGACACTTTGATTCTAGTCAATTTATATTTCTTGTACATAATCAAGGATAATGTAAGTTTAAGGGATAAGACTTGTATTCTACAAATGACATGTAGGCAATTTCATTTTGATGATATACCCAGATCATTCTATTTGCCATAAGTTTTACAAACATGCAATATAACTATACAGACAGATGTTTTTGTATCTCATTTATTTTGGGTGTTGTGCTTCATTCATTGATACTTGTTTAAATTTGAATTCAATTTTACTCATGTTAATTATGATAAGAAATGTTTTGGCTAGTATATATATTATGTTGGAAGAGGCAAATATAGCATATGCATGTTAATTATATAATAAACCAGACTGAGAAAAACACTGAATTATCAATATAATTTCTTTATCCATTTAATTTTTAGGTGTTACTTGAAATGACAGTGACTGATCCACTTTCCTGTGGTTAGTATCGATGATGATACACCTCTGTAGTCATGTAGCATGCGTGAAGTGCCAGCTGAGATATCGCCTTTCTACTCCAGTTATCTGTGATTTGTAATGGAACGGACTAGGGTGTGACACATCATGGCAACATGTATGGGCGAGGTGTTCACCTGGTCCCTCAGAAACCAGACAGCTTTGCCAGGTAATTATAAGGCATCTCATTTATACACTTGTATAAAACAGGGTTACGTGTGGCCTAAAAGTAGGTTTCATTCATTTAGATGTTGTATTTTTAAATTATGAAAAGAAATATAATCATAGAACTGAAAACAAATTGACACTTAACTCACTTTCAAGTAAGTCCATTCAGTAATTAATAAGTGAAGCTGTTGGTTTTCGTAGAAATACACAAGCCTTCCATTGTACTACTGGTATGATATGATAAAGAAGGACCAAAAACAGAACAAATTTAAAAAGAAGTTCAACAGATACTATATATGATGTTTGACAATAAAACAGGTCTAGTTGGATTTTAAATTTGGAAATAAAATGACTACCAGCCAATGTCAAACACTGGCATCCTGAATTTGTGAAGGAATTATTATCAGAACCAAATACTAATCATCATTATCTGAGCATTGAGCAAGAATCTTTAGCTAANCCCCACTCACTAAAAGCAAACCTGCCTTTATCTTTCACTAATGTTGTATTGTATTGTAATGATACTTTGTTGTTACAGATGATGTTGTTGGTATCCATACCTACCATGACAAAACACAAGCTGGTAAGTTGTTTACAGGCTCCATACACTTTCACATGTCAAATAATGCCTCCAGCTTATTAATCAGGATGACTCAAATATTGCATGTTTTGGGGATATTACTCATGAAGTATTATCAATTTTTTATGATATGTAGCTTGTTTTCATTTATCTCTGAAAATGACAATAGGATCCAAGAAGAAAATGTATGTAATCCCAACAGTTTTTAAGAAACTGGCAAAACACCAAATGTAACTTGTTGCAGGGGAGGTAAATCTTCAAAATTTTCAGAAAATATTTTCAACACAATTTTTTGAAAAATTGCAGATATTTGAAAACAAAAAAAGATATATCAGGGCTAGAAATTGATTGTGAATACAACTAGTCAATTGGGGTTGTAGTTTATAATTTGTACTAGTGTGTCAATGAACCAATTCCACTAACCCAATATAATTCAACAACATAAGCAATATCAGATGTTGACCAGTCAATCGGGCTAGCTGGTTTTAGAATCCCTAGTCCAGTTGGAGATTTCACAAATCACAGACTATCAGGCTACCATTATTGTCTAGCCCTGTATTTCAATATATCTTTTAAAAAGAGTTCATTTCAATTTTTATAAAATATTTGAATTCTTAAAGCGTATATATCAAGTTTAAAAATTCTTGGAAGTGAAAATGATTTGTAATGAAATTAAGCAATAATTATTTAAAATAAATACATATACATATGTATGTATAAATATGAAAATAAGATCACTATTGTTATTTTCATAGATAAACAAAGTAAAGTATGTGTCAAGCAATTAATATTCATGATCATGAGTTATCGGGGAGAAAAAAGTGCTTTTCATTACATGTCATTATATCAAAAGATATGTTACAGTTCCTTATTCAGATAGTTTTATGTCCTGAGTGATTTGTATAGAAATATTTGTACCTTTTGTACGTGTTTATTATTAAGTGGTATTTGATGTGTTGCAGCATCCCAGGGCCAGCTGTACCTGGAGGAGAGACAACAGCACTCAGAAGGTATACATTGTTATACATTGTAAAGTTATAGTACAGTATATCTATAATATAATATAGAAATTCATAGATAGATATAAAATTATGTTAATTTATTCTGTCTGATAGGATTTGACAACTCTCTGATTGGCATCTCATTGAAAATACACAATATATTAAGTTGCAAAGCTTTAAAATGTCTTAAAAGATGTTTTCATTTTACTCAGGTTTTTTCAATGTCCGTTCAGTTTAAATTCAAAATTACTGGTGTCGTACACTACAGTACAATATAATATATTTTACATTGTAAGGTTGTAATATTAAATAATATAATACATTGTTATATATTATTATTCATGATACATTAATGTTTCAATATTGAATTGTCGTGGTGTAATATATAACTACATGATATTGATTAAAACAGTTTAAAGGGAAGTAACTCTTCGCACCCCTCTGTCACCCTTGTAAAACACTAGCCATTGCCCATTTCATGGCAATGCGGCTAGGAATAATTTCCTTTTAGCTGTATTGGTAGAGCTTAGGACAAGTAAACCAGCTGCCAAGGGTTTGATCCCTAGTAAAGGCTTTACAAAGATGAATTACCTCCATTACACATCTATTGAAAATAGAATGTGCATCAATTTGAAATTCAAGAAGGAATATACACATTATACAACTAAAACATGTGATTGATTTCACACTGATATAGTCAGTAGACCTAATGGCTCTCCTTTAAATTTCCTTAGGTCAGGACATAGCATGGACACCAAAGAACAAGAGACCAGAGAAGCTACGAGACACGCTGAAGGAGCTAGAGGTATATGTTTCTGGAGAGTTGTGTTGATAACACCGAAACAAATATTTGCATTATAACATATATCTGTCGTAACAACAACTATCCTGATGCTACACTTGTACTCCTCATGTTATAATAACACTAAATTAAAATTACTACATTATAAACTTGAGTGGGTAAAATGTAGTTTTAGATGTGTTAAATAAAATCTGACTGTGGGAATTTCATTTAGATTCCCTATTTCAACTGGATGTCGTATCAAAATGATAAGAGAATGATGATAGAAATTATTTCTGATCTCCCTGTATGGTGGTGTTTATTTGTTGTTAGGACCTGCTGTCACACCACAGACTAGTACATGTCCGATGGAGAAGTCGAAGGATCCTCCAGGTAAAGCCAGACTCCTCATTCTATTTCACAGATTTCTTTGACCATAAATGTTTCTTACTGTAACTTTACCATCTGTACTTACCTTTGTCTACCAATGTGCAGAGTGACCTTGGAATTTATACTACACTGTACTCGGTGACCTTGAATTTAAACTACAATGTGCTGAGTTACCTTGAATTTAAACTACAATGTGCTGAGTGACCTTGAAATGTATACTATAATGTACCGAGTGACCTTCGTATAACCATGTACTGGGTCACCTTGGAATTTATACTACACTGTACAGTGTAACCTTTGAACTTATATAACACTGTACTGGGTGACCTTTTTACTACCAGCTGTACTGATTGACCATTACATTTTGTTGTAGGTTGTCCTGAGTAACTTGGTCAGTGTGACCTATGTTCTGAGTGGACACAGTGGCGACCTTGACAAGATCTTCCTTGACAAATCTATGATGACCAAGGTCAACACAGATGCAGCCTCAGATGGTATGTGTATGTGATACTGAATATTTATTTGAGGTGCCTTTCTGTGCAGGAATGAAATTAAATTTTGAGATGATAAACCACTTTAAACTTAAAAATACATTTCTTCTGATGAATACCTACTGTTATTAAAAGATCACTGTTAAAATGTTACCATATTTTTTACCCCAGAACTACCTTGGTAGACATTATAGAGTGTTTTGTTTGTGTTACAGCGTACCTTTGTGAACAGTTCCTGATTACAGTGTATCCAGACCGTAACAAGCTGGACTACGCCTACTTTGTCAAAAGACCTCCTCTAGGGGAGACAATAAAACGTCTAGAAAAACTCTCTACCTGGGAACCCAAGGTAGGCTAGAAGTCAGTTGGAACCTAAACCAACACGTTTTGTAGGTATTTAAATTGCCTTTTTGAAAGTAATATACAATTTACCTCAAATTATCAGCATTAAAATTTGATTGTAAATAGTTTTTGGAATATTAGGCCTCCGGTCAATGAGTTGTAATTTTAAGATATAAAGGAAAAAGGAAAAAATGTCACTCCAAAAAAAAATTTTTTGCCAATTTTCTACTTGGCATTTTTCTGAAATAGATAAAAAGAAAACTGTTCTAGATAGTTAACACATGGGGTAAAACCTAATGAAAATGATCGGTGTAATGTAGGAATGATTATTGGGAATGCTTATGATTAATTGTCAGTGGTTCCACCAAATGTGACTAAAGGGAAGTAACTCTAGTAACAATATGCTCTATTCTTGTGTCAGATAATTGTAAAGCTTTAGAAATGAACAAAAGTGATCCTAGGTTGAAACTTTTTATTGTTGTTCGCTTGTAACAATGACAATATGACAATAAATATAAAAAGATAACAAATAACAAATAACAAATAAAAACAAGTGTTTCTGAAAGAAGGAAATATTGAGAAATATTTCTGTTTAAATTCACAGTAGCTGCAATGATTGAACACCATCTGGGCCAGTATTCATGAAACCATTCTGATGCTCAAACTCAGATTCTGTACTCAAGTCAAATTGCCATATACTGTTTTAAATATTTCCACTGGAATTTTTACTATGTCACATGATTTAGACAAGTCAGAAGAAAGTTTGTTTAAGCAAAAAGTCAATGCATGAGCATGCACATGATAATGGGGCCCAAGTGTCTGGTAAATTGTGTACAGATGTTCAATTGAGAATGACCTATGATGTACTAATTCTTTAACCACGAAAAATAATTTGTGAACCGCTTTGAGACGAACTAGGACCTACGTTGTGATAAAACGGTACATAAGAACCTCAAACTATCATTATTATTACTATAAGTTGTTTCATGTTTACAAAATTATATTGTTTAAATAATTAAAGCAAATCTATACACAATTGCTAGTGGCTTGTACATATCCCATTATCAGACGACAACATGAGAAGTACTGTGTGTACAACATTCCATATTAGTCTTTTGTAAGAACACTTACAGTAACATACATTATTACTTGTATTGTGTTGGATTTTTACAGGTGTCTCAGGTAGAAATTCCAGGCCCCATCGGAAGACGTCTGGACCGGAAGCTGTCAGTCAACACACGGCAAGATACAGTAAGTCAACACCTCACATCTGTCACCTGATCAGTGATGAGGTCGACGTAGAATAACTTGTACCATGCAGAAACAAACATTGTTGTGGCAATAGACATGTGACTTTTCTATAGAACTTGTTTTCAGTTATCATGGCACATATGATAGTTTAGTTAAGCATTATCCGGTATCATCTTTAAGCAATGTATGCAAAATATGAGTCGATTATTGAGAATGTCATAGGATCATCCCATCAGATTACACAAGTTTTATCAATTACATTGTCATATTAAACAGGTTTTATCAATTACATTGTCATTTTACACAGGTTTTATCAATTACATTGTCATATTACACAGGTTTTATCATTATTGTCATATAACACAGGTTTTATCAATTACATTGGCATATTGGACAGGTGTTATCAATTACATTGTCATATTACACAGGTTTTATCAATTACATTGTCATATTACATAGGTTTTATCAACTACATTGTCATATAACACAAATTTTATCAATTACACCATCAGATAACACAGGTTTTATCAATTAAACTGAGTTACACAGGTTTATAAAAAAATGTCAGTTTTTGCAGGTTTTATCACTTTCATTGTCTGATTACACAGGTTTTATCAATAAAATGTAAGATTACACTGGTTCCATGGAGTAAATTTTTTAACTACTCTTGCACTTTCTAGTCAATATACAACTTGATTACTTTTCTTGGTTTCTTTTCCTTTTTCTTTTTGGAAAGTCCCTCATATCTATAAATAGAATGTTTCACAAGGTCCTCAACAGGGGTGACAGGGAAAACCAGACGTCCCTGTAGGCGGTTCCAGGACTTCATGATTTCGTTGATGTCTGCTCCCTGTATGGGCTGGCCTGCGACTCTACTGCGGTACTCGTAAAGTACCACTTGGTTGTCCACCAGGGGGCCAAGATGACACACACACAAATACATTGTCAGGTCATGGTGACCCATGGAGGCCAGATGTTGGTGAAACAATTTGTGAATAGGGACAGACTGACGCAGGGATAGTAGGAAGCTCACAGCTGCTCGCTTATGATGACTCCTGAACGGAATCCTGATTATTGGGTCTTCAAATTCATCGGTTTTGGGGAAACTGTCACTGTTATATGTGTCATTGCTATAACTACACATTGAGCCTGAGGCTTGATCTTCTGATTTCTCTGACTCGTCTACGACAGAGTCACTGTCCTTGCTGTAGCTACAGTCCTCCGACATCACGGTAGGACTACCAGTTATATCGGAACCCTCCACTGAGTCGTCATCCCGACATGTGATCAAGTCGACACAAGTTGTGATGGATCGGTCTTCTCCGTCAAATTTGACCCCCACTGTTTGGTGTACCTCAAGGTCAACGGGATTACCCAAGACTTCTGATTGGACAAGAATGTCATAAGTTACCTTTCCTAAATTGTTCATGTACATTTTCAACTTATCTGATAGGTCAGTTTCTTCCTGTAACCTTTCAAGGGTAGATAACTCAAGATGAGGTTGATAGGTCATTCTGGAACCAAACTGATGGATGTTTTGACATACAACATTAAGATAGCTTTCCTCACAGGTGTCTAGTTTTCTAACGAGTTCCTTATGAAGCTCGTTTTCACAGGTAGGTACCAGCACAGATACCTTAGGTTTCAAATACAAACTCCTGTCATCAAACATTGCTGCATCCAGGTCTAAAACTTCTTCAAACAGAAGATCAGCAGGTTTTTGGTTAAGTTCGGGAAACACATTTGCGTTTTTCTCTTTCTCTACTTTTTCGTCAACAGCCAGGAGGTCCAGCTGTTGTTGTATGGTGAGGACTGTCAGACATTCAGCCCTGGTCAGCATCTCTATCTCATCCTCGTCACACAGTACAATTCGGGTCTTACCAGGGTCTTTTGGGGGCGGAGCTTTGTCACTGATATGGTACATGGTGAGGTGGGTGTTGCCTGTTCGACCCACTAGTGATGGCAGGTGTCCATTTCAGGTGTATGATCACTGATATGTCCCCTGGTGTTGGTTTTATTGGCCTTCTGCCTGAAACATCAAACATGAACTTCTACACTGACATATTGCCTAATTAGGAGATGGGCAAATTTTTTTCTGGTAAAAAACTACTACAATAAGAATAGTCCATATTAGTAACACTAGGAGGACAGAATACTGAATATATTTGCAGAACAACAATCATCTAAGTTAACGTTAGATACGAAAGGAATATATTCAAAACAGTCTTTCAAAAGTAACCTGCTGAAACATAGATCTACATTTTGCTTTTTAACAGTTGTGTAATGCAGCTGAGCATTACATTGAAATCTTTCAAAGTGGTCGTGAGATTTACGGCTTCTACAAATTGAAATGATTGTACGTTGCATTAATTTAGTAGAGAATAGACCTGATACAGATTTTGTATTTGTTTGAATTTCGCCATTTTTGACCCATCATAACAACCAAACCTCTCTGACCGTATGTCCACGGCACGATAATTACTAGGTACACAGTACTGGACAGGAAATGAATTTTTTTTCATTTTTTTTATTGTTTTGTCTGTGGTTTTACATATATGCCGACTCCTATTTTCAAAAGAATTTTCTTTGTATTTATCAAAAGTAAGACATGCATAGTAATTCTCTGCTCAAAATTAATTAAAATCAGAAAGAAATTAAACATGATGTTGTCCAGATCTACATTAACCACCCTTACAATAAAACATGCGTATTGTAAATAATGTTTCAGTGATTTAACATCAAAGATATTACTGTACCTATACACCCATGTAGAGTGTTATTGTATATAAATTTTGTATAACCTACCATGCTTAAATATGGTAACGGTCCATATAAAAAAGTGTAAAAATCCTTTGGTAGGTATGTTTCTACTTTCTTCAAGTTGACAAATTCTCTAAAACCACTTTGATTACAAACCTGAAGGTAGAATCTCCACAATGTAAAAGTCAATGTAAGCTACATATACACGACTTCTGAAGACACAGAATTCACCACTGGTACCTCACATTGTTTAGTTCTGTGTTATTGATTTTGTAGGTTAGCCCACCTGTTGATGAACCAGCTCATCAATAATGTATACAGATACCATACTGTACCTGTTATCTTACTGGGAAAACAAGTATCCAACACAGTGTCAGGGGTAAAGGGGGATAATCAATAATTACTGGGACAACACCGGCTACCAAATATCCCACACAGTGTCAGGGGTATAGGGGAAATCAATAATTACTGGGACTAGTTAGGCTACCCAAATATCCCACACAGTGACAGGGGTAAAGGGGGATAATCAATAATTGCTGGGACAACACCGGCTACCCAAATATCCCACACAGTGACAGGGGTAAAGGGGGATAATCAATAATTGCTGGGACAACACCGGCTACCCAAATATCCCACACAGTGTCAGGGGTGTAGGGGGATAATCAATAATTACTGGGACTAGATAGTCTACCCAAATATCCCACACAGTGTCAGGGGTGTAGGGGAAATCAATAATTACTGGGACTAGTTAGACAACCCAAATATCCCACACAGTGTCAGGGGTGTAGGGGGATAATCAATAATTACTGGGACTAGATAGTCTACCCAAATATACCACACAGTGTCAGGGGTGTAGGGGAAATCAATAATTACTGGGACTAGTTAGTCTACCCAAATATCCCACACAGTGCCAGGGGTGTAGGGGAAATAAATAATTACTGGGACTAGTTAGACAACCCAAATATCACACACCGTGTCAGCGGTGTAGGGGAAGATCAATAATTACTGGGACTTTAGTTAGTCTACACAAATATCCCACACAGTGCCAGGGGTGTAGGGGAAATCAATAATTACTGGGACTAGTTAGACAACCCAAATATCCCACACCGTGTCAGCGGTGTAGGGGAAGATCAATAATTACTGGGACTTAAGTTAGTCTACACAAATATCCCACTCAGTGGTAGGGGTGTAGGAGAAATCAACAATTACTGGGACTTAAGTTAGTCTACACAAATATCCCACACAGTGTCAGGGGTGTAGGGGAAGATCAATAATTACTGGGACAAGTTAGTCTACCCAAATATCCCACACAGTGTCGGGGTGTAGGGGGAAGATCAATAATTACTGGGACTAGTTAGACAACCCAAATATCCCACACAGTGTCAGGGGTGTAGGGGAAATCAACAATTACTGGGACTTAAGTTAGTCTACACAAATATCCCACTCAGTGGTAGGGGGGTAGGAGAAATCAACAATTACTGGGACTTAAGTTAGTCTACACAAATATCCCACTCAGTGGTAGGGGTGTAGGTGAAATCAACAATTACTGGGACTTAAGTTAGTCTACACAAGTATCCCACACAGTGTCAGGGGTGTAGGGGAAAATCAATAATTACTGGGAATAGTTAGACAACCCAAATATCCCACACAGTGCCAGGGGGGTAGGGGAAATCAATAATTACTGGGACTAGTTAGTCTACCCAAATATCCCACACAGTGTCAGGGGTGAAGGGGAAGATCAATAATTACTGGGACTAGTTAGTCTACACAAATAGACCCACACAGTGCCAGGGGTGTAGGGGAAATCAATAATTACTGGGACTAGTTAGTCTACACAAATATCCCACACAGTGTCAGAGGTGGAGGGGAAGATCAATAATTACTGGGACTACTTAGTCTACACAAATAGACCCACACAGTGCCAGGGGTGTAGGGGAAATCAATAATGACTGGGACTAGTTAGTCTACCCAAATATCCCACACAGTGACAGGGGTGTAGGGGAAGATCAATAATTACTGGGACAAGTTAGTCTACACAAATATCCCACACAGTGTCAGAGGTGTAGGGGAAGATCAATAATTACTGGGACTAGTTAGTCTACCCAAATATCCCACACAGTGTCAGAGGTGGAGGGGAAGATCAATAATTACTGGGACTAGTTAGTCTACCCAAATATCCCACACAGTGTCAGGGGTATAGAGGCAGCTAGAGGTTATAAAATATCCAACACATGAGAAGGCCAAGGGGTGTTTGGGAAAATCCCTAATTACTGCCACAACAGAGACTATAAAAGTATCTCAATCAGTAGGAGACATAGGGGTATGGTAGAAATTCAATAATTATATTATTTTACTTTTTAGTACAGACCGTTGTCTGACTAGGGTGTTCTTGTATAAAGTTGACATCAATTACCAATGGGATACACATTAATTTCTGTAGCCAGCTGATTTATTAGAAACAATGAAACTGAATAAGACTCTGTGTGGTAGCGTAACAAATTGATAGACTTACACAAGTCCTGAATAAAATGTCTTCACTAATATCAAAATATAACTCGTCAACAAATTATAATATATTGTCAGTTGTCAACAGTCATTGTTATTCTGTTGTGATAGATAAATGCTCTAGTCACGTGTAAGGATACAGGAATGGATACAGGAATGATCTAAATGTCTTTCCTGTAAAGTCAGTTTTTTGGCTGGCAGGACTTGCTGTAAATGTTTTAGAGTACAATGATCTAGCGTCTTTGCTGTAAATCCCTTTAGTTGATTAACAGATGTTCATGTAGTGTATTGGAAAGTGTTATGTATGAAAACTCCCAAGTAGATTAGGAAAATTTGCGGTATCTAATTCCTTTTGTCCATTGACAGGTGTTGGTGTGGTGGACAGCGTCCAGTGAGGAGGCGTGGCCATGGAGTCCGATGAATACTGACAAGGATAGGGCCAACCTTGTGCTTTACTCCATACATGGGTAATGGTCCAACATGATCATTCTCAATTATTAAATTAAGAGCTCAACAAAATGTTTATAGAATTCCTACAACTTACATGTTTAAGTCTTCAAGTTTTCAAAACTAAATAGGCACATCATACCATAATTATTAAAAATACTTTGAAATTATGTTACGCTTTAAATTAAATTGAATTGTTGCATTTCGTTGTCAATGATAGAAATGACAGGTTTATGATAATAAAAGACTTACTCCCTGATCAGATTTAAAAATGTACAGGGCCTCCTGCCAGACATGTAAGTTTTGATAAATATTGGTTGATAGAACTTGCTTCATAATTTTTGTAAAATGACTGAAGTTTAATTTGATTCAAGTTGAATGTGTATTTTGTATACTTAAATTGTTACACTTTTTGAAATTGATTTGATTGTTTATTTACTTTCTTTTGTTACAGCCCTAACATAGGACTTTTGACCTTTACCAGGTCGGAGTGTGACCCTATACATGCAGGATTCAGGTAATTAACTTTACAATGGTGTCTGATAACCATCACTGATCAGGCAGTGTGTTTAATTCATCATTAGAGGTGTTGGTATTGGTTTTATCAGAAATACTACAATTTCAATTTGCAACACATTCTTAAGATAAAACATATTTTAAAGGAACGAAAAAAAAAATGACTGGAACATATGACATGGGACAAAACATTGTCTTGTCTGTTCAGGTAATCAGCAGTTGAGCAAAGGTACCATGATGTTTTATTGTGAAGTTAAGACAATATCAATGTTGAAGATCAGTTGTAATTGATTTGATAATGTATACTGGAATATTTTCGACGCGTCAAATTTCCCCCCTTTGCCAGAATATTCTGTATTTGCCCAGAGTTAACTTCGCCCTTCACATTTAATTACTATGTATATTATGTTGTTTACTATTATTTGCTATAATGATAATTTTCCCTCATTACGACGGGCGATAAAGGCATATTGAACTGGTTTACAATGTACATGTATACATTTATTATCTGCATCTTCCACCTTTCTTACAGAAGTGTAAATTCTTTATCAATCCATGAATATTTAACAGATTTTTTATAGATTGTACCTCATTTTACTACCATCAACTTGCCCTCTTAGGAAAACATAAACAAATACATGCACCAGGTAAATAATATTTGGATTAGTTGTTGTTTGCAGTTGCATGAAGGAAAAGATTTTTTTTACATTCAAAATAAATTTGAATGTTGAGAGATTTCCTGGAGCTCTCTGACAAGTGCAATAAAATTTCATCAAATAATTGTTGAAAAATGATTGAAAATTGTTTTCTAAGACAAAAGAAACAGCAGTAAAATATCAGGTTTAATTGGAATTAATTGACAGACTTTTCTGTGATCTTTGTTGTAGTGACCTGCAGCCACACAGATTTTTTACAGTGGAACAAGCAATGGGAGCAGGCTCTGAGACATCAGCTCAAAGCTGTACCTACGAGATTATACAGGGCAAGGTAGGGGATGTGTACGGTGTGTAGGGGAGGGGCTGTATACCTGGGAAGGGGAGGAGACATCAGCTAAAAGCTGTACCTACGAGATTATACAGGGCAAGGTAGGTGATGTACACAGCGTGTAGGGGAGGGGCTGTATACCTGGGAGGGGGACGAGACATCAGCTCAAAGCTGTAAAGAAGTTATACAGGACACAGTAGGCATAATTGGTGTGAAGAGATGGAGTTGTGTACTTTGAGGCAGAGGAGTTGTCCCGTACAAAAATGTATGATAATGCAAGGCAAAGTAGGTGATATGTTTGTGTAGGGGTGGGACTGTATGACAGGAGGGGGACAAGATATCGACTTAGAGCTACAGAAATAAATTATACAGGACAAAGTAGGACTAGTTAGTGTACAGGGATGGAGTTATATATATACCTTGGGGCTGGAGAGCTGAACCTGTGCAATAAGGCAGGGAAAAGCCTGCAGGATTAGCAGTGTGTACCTATGAGCTCTGTAAATGTTTCCTACATTCACATCCTATGTTTGGGAATACAATTATAACAATCACTGATATTTGTATTTCAGATTCAGAGGACCAATGTTACAGCTATACAGTTGAAAGGTCAGTGATATCTGGTCACAGTTATTATGTAAAATAGTGTATAGGGTCATTTATCCTACCTAGACTTTGTTGTATAATTGATACAACAATTTAATATCTTGATTACCTCTTACTGTAAAAGTTTAGATGTTCATAGAGACAAAAAATCCATCAGTTATTTGATAAATAAATATCAAACCTACATTCTCATTATGTGACATGTCAGAGTATCATGAGTGCTGTGAGGAACTACACTACTAGAAAAATATTCAAAACTTTACTAGTACAGTAAGATACTATTATACTTGCTTTTTTTGTCCAGAGAAATTTTAGCATTATAAAGAACTTTTTAAAATACATGCAGGAAATGAGAAAATGTTCAGAAAAAATGAAAAAATGACCTTCAATGAAACGAGAGGCATTATATAGAGCTTGTATAATGTATACAATGTAAATGTAGTATGTTATATACAAAAACACTTACTACATTGTTATATATAGATGACTGACCTACAAATATGCTTTAAAATAATGAACCCTTTCTACCCTATGTACCTTTAGTAGACTCTACTATGCATTGATCTGGATGAGTCCATTATGGTCTACAGTGGTGAAAGGGTTAATACTGTATTCAATGCTTCAGTAACCTAGTTTTACTAGAATATACTTTCTTTCTTTCTTAACCTTGAGTTTAACTTTAACCTTTGCATTGTAGGTCATCTGACATGTCAGGGTCGTAACCCCAGTGAGGACAAACTCATTCTCGGCTGTGGTGATGGATCTGTGGTAAGGACATATACATGTAGTACCTTATTTAACAAAATAATCATTTACCTGTAGTCCTATATAATGGCTGATCCATGAAAATTAGTCGGGCTCCAATTGTATTTGTTAGCTTTTCCCAACATTATTGCAAAATAATTATTCTGGTATACTATATACCTGGAAACATTCGCCTAGTAAAATATTCATTCTTTGCCGATAAAATCAATGTTCGTCTAGCTAGTGTTAATTTAGCCCTTCACATGTTATTATTATATATTTTATGTTGTGTACTATAATATTCATTGTCATGATAAATTCACTCTAATTTGAGAAAGCAAAAAAGGCGAATTTAAATTGAGGTGAAAATGTCCAGGTACACAATACTTACATACAAGAAATTATCCACATTTCTGGATTTCCTCTCCTTGTTTGTGATATTTTGTACCAGAATAACATCCTTATGAATAAATATTTTTATCATCTTACTGGAGAAATGTTAACTTGGCATGTAACTAATATTAACTATCCAATACAACAATACAGACTTGTTAAAAACATATACTTAGTTTATCTCCTCACATACAGGTCCTGATTGATGATCACAGAAAGACTTCATCAGCAAGGCGGGCAGATTTGGTGATTATCTCCCCTTATTCTTGTCTAGATAGCATCAAGATTAATTGAAATTGCACATGTATCAAAGTGGAAGAAAAAAACACCTAAAACAACAAGACATCAATACCCAAATGAATTCAATTTCAATTATTAATATTCTCAGTTTAATGTTATTAAGTAAAATTAATTTATTACTTTATTTTTGTGTTTTTCAAACATAATAATATAATGTGTACATTGATTTGCTTAATGTTTTAAGTGTAATGCTTTTAGTCAGTACTTATGATTCCTGTCCCCACAGATCGCTGCTGATGTAGCCTGGCACCCCACAGGGACTGTTTTCTTCCTGATCAGTGTTCGGGGAGACATACAGGTTAGCAACATTCCTCTTTGGATCAGACTTTCCACAGTGTCTGGTATCCCATGACTGGCACAATTCAGACATTTGTATTTTGTCTTAAAACTTTCATCTTGCTGCAAATATAATCTGCAATATTATTGAAGGTATACAATTCACACACTTCTGTATTTCCAATATATATGATAAGAGATTTTCAGCTAAAAATGTACTAAATAATAGAATGCATGGATAAAATGCTTTCTGCTCCCAGTGTGATGATGGTGAAATCCCAAGATTTGGTGACGCCCTTATATTTTCCTAAAACTTTAACAGTTTTTAGCTCACCTGGCCTGAAGAGCCAAGTGAGTTTATCCCTTGGTGAGGCTTCCGTCATCCATCCATCTTTCGGTGTCAACGTTTTACTTCAAACGACTTCTTCTTCTTAATAATCAAAAGGACCAGGGTGATGATACTTAGATAGTAAGCATGCTGGGATAAAGGTCATAGGGATCAAATATATCAAAGACTTTAAAACAACTTCTTCTGAATGACCAAAATGCAAATGGTGGTAATATATATGTGACCAGTATAGCTTGTTCAGATGAAGAGCGGTTATGTTTGTTCATTTGAATGACCGTGACATACTTTTTAGGTTCCATTTGTCAATTGTTTATGAATCTTTAAAAGATATCTTCTCAATAAACGAAAATTCTACAGTGGAGATATTTTGCAAGTTGTTCAACTTAATGTCCTTGTTCGACTTGCAAGGTCACAGAGGTCAAATGTATTTAAATATTTTAACAGGTTCTTTTGAATTCCTTTGAGTCAAAGATACTGGTATTTGGCGTGTAGCTTTATTTTAGTCCACTATAATAATAAATATTAATACCAGGTGAGCAATGCAGGCCCATTGGGCGTCTTGATAATAATATAGTTGTTATGCATCATATCACATATTCTGTTGACCTAACAGGTACTTGACTTGGCCTTGACCTCATTGAGAATACAGCTGGTGTCAGAGGAGCCAAGCCCACAGAGAGTTCTTCCCCTCAGCAAGCTCTTCAGGTTAGTATTGAACTAATTTGAAATTCCAGCATATCTGTGGTCGGTAGATAATATTATACATATATGGATATGGATATGGAAGTTTATTACATTTGCTAAAATTTTGAGGAATTATTTTATATTTAGTATGACTCCATCAATGTATCTGTCCATTTATAGTAATAATACATTGTGATACAATGATTTACATGTATGTACAAATAAATGTATTTCAGGAACTAATTTCCTGAAAACTAATTCATTTATGTTTGTTAAATTTGGTTGTTTTTATTCTTTCCGTTAACAGTAGTATTACTGTTATTATAGAAAGCTGTATCAGTCTTTCTGGGGACTCTTCATGCATTTCTTTGAATAGCAGTTGTTTGATTAGGAAATATGGAAGGAGATGATAATCTAGCCAACAAATTTTTGGGAACACATGAACAGCACTTATTAGGTCTGTATTAAAATCAAAGTTCTTAAATTTAGTTTTTGGAACTGAATTTCACTTGGATTCCGTTCCTAAATCTCGAGTTTGAAAGTAGACTAAACATTCCAGCCATATAAATGAATATGACCCAGAATTTCTATGACGTGTATTTGTTATCAAGAATTGTATATTGTTGTCTCCCTTTGTTAACCTAAGGGTGCCTGTGACTGTGAAAGAGCTGTGCTGGTGTTTGTCTGACCCCCAGTCAGCAGAATGGAACGGTGATTACACGGACGCCATGTTTATACACTGTGATAGGTCAGTACCCCCCTTTAAAATATACATACATGTAAATGTCTTTAGATTATATATACATACTCTGACAGCATACCAGGATAAGGTAGCAAACTGAACTTAACATTTAACTTTGTCATTCCAGATATATTAATGTATCAACAGTGCAGTTTTATTCTTATACTCTAAAATATTTTGACATCTGAATCTTTCAATTTCAAATAAGAAAATGATTGAAAATAGGCAGCTACACATGGTGTATATTTGTTGAATTTCTGTACCCACAGAGGCCCGCCCTGCCTGTTCCTGTTCCACCTGGGAGTGGTCAGTAGGGAGCGGTTCTCCTGTCTGGAGCTGCTGAAGGAGTACATCAAACACAACCAGATACCAGATGTGTGTATCTATAGTATTGCTACCACAGTGGTCTTGCTGTATGTTTACAACCCCCCCGTCATTCAAATAATGGCTAGAATTATTATCGCCGGGTTCACACTTTCACTAGTCCTTTAGTAGGAGACCAGTAGATTTCAGTAAGGACTAGTGAATCATCTATTGTTTAACTGGACCCTTGAACCAGGATTTAACTCATGTCCCTTACAGTTAATTACGTTGTATGTGTCTTAGTGGAGGTCTTTCTTTAAGGAAATTTTGGACTAGTTCCATTGATCTAGGACTAGTAGAAAATCTATTCAACGAGTCATGTGGACTTCCAAGAAAAAACAGTTGGTGTCTAACCCAAATTATTGTCAAACAACACAATGGTTAGTTATAGATCTTGATGTTTTCATGTAAAGGTTTATTTAGGTAGAACCAAACCAAGACCAGTCTAGCTATTCCTACTAAAATTCTATTTTAATACTGTTATTTGTGAAAATGATCTTCAGATTAATACAGAAATTTAGCAATTAATATCCTACACTTTTTCAACACTGCTGGAATGATACAGTAACATTTATTTCAGGGTTTAGGGTTTATGTTTAAATTGGTGCTCAAGTACAAGGGTGTTTGTTTAAAATTGGTGCTCAAGTACAAGGGTTTATGTTTAAAATTGGTGCTGAAGTACAAGGGTTTATGTTTAAAATTGGTGCTCAAGTACAAGGGTGTATGTTTAAAGTTGGTGCTCAAGTACAAGGGTTTATGTTTAAAATTGGTGCTGAAGTACAAGGGTATATGTTTAAAGTTGGTGCTGAAGTACAAGGGTTTATGTTTAAAATTGGTGCTGAAGTACAAGGGTTTGTTTAAAATTGGTGCTGAAGTACAAGGGTGTATGTTTTGATAGTCTGATGTTTCTAAAGAGAAGATTTATATTCTAGGTCACTTAACACAGAAGAAATCAGAATAACCTTTAATATATGTTGATTATTATATATAATTCCAGGCTATTTTACTGCTGGAGAATATGAACTGGGATACCCATGGATCCGTGTGTTACTCCTGTCTGTCAGCCATTGTCAACCACCTGCTGCGTAAACCCCTCAACGTGGAGCGGGAGGGTAATCTTCACTCCCTTAGCCAGCAAATCTTGTTCTTCAGAAAAATGTCCCTCATATCTGAACACTTTTGAATGTGTCTTGAAATAAGATTTAGCTTTTTGTGAAACATAAGTATCTTTTCTGTTGAGTCCAGGTATTGTGTAATATGAGTGGTGTATTCTGTTGACTCCCAGTTTTGTATAGTATAAGTGGTGTATTCTGTTGTCAAGGTTTTATGTAATAAACATGCTTTTTTGACTCCAGGCCAGTTAGAAGTGAGTCTAGGGACGTTCTACAACCCCAAGCGAGCACTGTCCGAGTCCACCATTATGGATTTCAGAGACCCTATCAGCCGACTTGCTCGGAGATTCTTCCATCATCTACTCCGGTAAAATATATTTAATGTACATTATATTAGACTCCATAAAGTTTATGGTATTGTCTTCTTTATATTATATATAAAAAAAATAGATACTTTGCCTATGCTCATTGTTGATTTAAACATAATTTGTTTGGTTTAAAAAAAAAAAACTCCAAGCCTATACAATTGGAGGCTGATTCCTTAATATTGAAACACAATAGGCAAGCTTTGGTTTGTTTTGTTTGTGTTTTACGTCCGAATAACAGCTATGGTCATTTAAGGACGTGCCAGGTTTTAGTGGTGGAGGAAATCTGGATTTCCCGGAGAAAAATCACCGACCTACGGCCAGTACCTGGTGACTGCCCCACATAGGCCTTGAACTCGCAACCCAGTGGCGGTTTGCTAGTGGTAGCAGAATGTCAAACCCCTTAACCACTTGGCCACTGCGGCAAACCGGGTGTCTGAAGGATAGTACATGTATAGTGTAAATGTGGAAAGTTTTGCCGTGGGAAATTTGTCATTTATTTTACATTTACAAAATGAACTACTTAAAGAAATGTGAAACTACGCATTCGAAAACAACATCAACATACTGTGAGATGTGTACTGCAGCAACATCGGGGACACAGATGTTTCCATACAACATACTGTGAGATGTGTACTGCAGCAACATCGGGGACACAGATGTTTCCATACAACATACTGTGAGATGTGTACTGCAGCAACATCAGGGACACAGATGTTTCCATACAACATACTGTGAGATGTGTACTGCAGCAACATCAGGGACACAGATGTTTCCATACAACATACTGTGAGATGTGTACTGCAGCAACATCAGGGACACAGATGTTTCCATACAACATACTGTGAGATGTGTACTGCAGCAACATCAGGGACACAGATGTTTCCATACAACATACTGTGAGATGTGTACTGCAGCAACATCAGGGACACAGATGTTTCCATACAACATACTGTGAGATGTGTACTGCAGCAACATCAGGGACACAGATGTTTCCATACAACATACTGTGAGATGTGTACTGCAGCAACATCAGGGACACAGATGTTTCCATACAACATACTGTGAGATGTGTACTGCAGCAACATCAGGGACACAGATGTTTCCATACAACATACTGTGAGATGTGTACTGCAGCAACATCGGGGACACAGATGTTTCCATACAACATACTGTGAGATGTGTACTGCAGCAACATCAGGGACACAGATGTTTCCATACAACGTACTGTGAGATGTGTACTGCAGCAACATCAGGGACACAGATGTTTCCATCCGCCAAACTGTTCAAATATTCGGAAGTTGAAATTTGTCCATCCAACAATATAGATGCTAAAACATTGGTTCCTTCTATTCAGTTTCTAATAAAACAAACATCAGCAGCTGTTTGATACGCCTTTCCTCTACCTCTGTAGGTACTCGCGGTTTGACAAGGCGTTTCTACTGGCAGTGGACATCGGGGCCAGAGATCTGTTCATGGTGAGTGTTTTCAGGATTAAGATATCTAACTTGAGAAAGCATTTTGTCAGATTAGAGCATGCAATCCATTTGTATATATTGATTTAATAGTGATATATGCATCTGAATATAAATTGTTTAATCTCTAATTTCTGGTAGATCAACTTAAAGAAACCCTACTTATTGTGTCGCCTACGACGGATGTCGGAAAGACAAATAGGAGTTGCTTTTCCGACGGTGGCGACGGCGTCGTCAACAATGTTAAGGTTTTGCGTTTAGCTCTGTTTCTGATAAAGCTACACCAACAAAACCTCGACCATAGATGAAGCATGGGTAGTGGAGCCTACTGCACTACAAACATTTCACTGATTTCTGCATTTTTTTGGTAAAAACCTCAAATTTCTGGACTTAGAAAAAAACTCAACGTTAAGGTTTTGCGTTTAGCTCTTACCTTATCGTTTAGCTCTTACATATTAAGCTGTTTCTGACAAAGTTTAAATGCTAGAGCAACCAAACTTGGGTCATAGGTGTATCATGGGATGTATAGCTGAATGAATTACACTCTTTACTAGCATTTTAACGATTTCTGTATTCTTTGGCTAAAAACCTCAAATTTCTGGACTTAGAAAAAAACTCAACGTTAAGGTTTTAGCGTTTAGCTCTTGCATATAAGGCTCTTTTTGACAAAGTATATGAGCTAGACCAACCAAACCTCAATCATACATGTATCATGGGTAGTAGAGCCTGGTACTCTAAAAACATTTCATGGATTTCTGCACTTTTTCGGATGAAAACCTGAAATTTCTGGACTTTAAAAAAAAATAATGTTATGATTTTGCGTTTAGGTCTGTTTCCTTATGTACTATGTCAAATGCTTATTATATTGACAAAGCGGGACAGGCGACACATATAATTATGCGTAATTCTTGTATAAATATATAATCCCATCACCCAATAAAAAATTAAAGTACCTTCGTGAGCTGGATATTTTAGCTGGCCATGTTGTGCTATCATTGTGCTATAATTGTGCTGGCCATGTTTTGCTATCATTGTGCTGGCCATGTTGTGCTATCATTGTGCTGGCCATGTTGAGCTTTCATTGTGCTGGCCATGTTGTGCTATCATTGTGCTGGCCATGTTGTGCTAACCATACACCTGTACTAAAAGTTGTTAAATAAACCTGCGAACAAACAAATGCAAAATGTTATCCCCACGAAAATATACAATTGTACTGTAAGTAGACTCCCTACATAATTCAAATTTAATTTAATATATCAAGGATAATGTTGTTTATTCTACTATTTCCTTTAGTGTAAACTATTTGAGACTATTGTCTAACAATGTGTTACTATTGTACAGGATATCCATTACATGGCCCAAGACAAGGGGGAGGTGGCTCTAGCTGAGGTCGCCAAACGCAAGGCCGACCAGATTGAAACAGAGGCTTTAGGTAAAGGTCACTTCAGTTCAATCTCTATTGTATTCAATAGACAATGTTCCATACACCTGTACTAATAATTGTTGAATAAACTTGTGAATTAACAAATGATAGTATGTAATTCATTACATTATACAACCAGGTGAACAAGGAATAGTGTATACGTATGAAGTGCAATTAATACAAATTCAAAATAGTACATACAAAAACAAGATACATGTATCAAAACTTTTTTTTTTTTTTTGATGATCCTGATTACTGCATGTTTTTCTGGTCGACAGAGTCATTTGACGGGCTGGATGACGACCTCATATTTAACGGCCTTAATAACCAGGTGCCAAACAACCACCAGGATGGCGGGCAGGTGTTAAACGGACAGGTGAGTGACCAAATAACCTTCTTTCTAAGACATAAACATGCACCCTAGACCAGAACTAGGTTATTCATACTTCATTTTGTTTGATTACAACAAGAGATAACTTAACATACAGGTGAATCTCATGATAATGATCAGGATTATAAATATCTGGAGTTTTATCTTAAAATAAAGTGTCTGGACTAACAAAACCAACTTTATAGTGTTGGAATGATTATTGATTACCTGTACAATAAAAACAAAAGATTTTTAGCTACCCTGGTCCAAAACAACCAGATGAGAGATACAGAATCTATGGGCCCCTCGTTTACAGCAACATATCGTATATTTTGAAAATATCTTTTGTATACATACTTCATAAATATATCAATTGTATCTCATCATGGAAAATGATGACCTGATTTCACTGGTTTATATTAATAAGAATGTATCATTGCTATATGTAATAGATTACGGGATTCCTCTCCAATCTGATCACCAGATGATTTAAACAGTATATATTTGTTTCATTCCTGATAACGCTTGCAAATAAACACCTTTTCATTGTGAACAAAAATGGCTTGTTGTGTAGGTGTTGGTGAATGAAAACTGTTCCCTACTTAACTACAAGGTGAAGAGTTGTCAAATTGTCAAAAGATACTGCAAGGAATAAGTTGGGGAAGTATTATTGCAGGTGGGAAGTATTGCCCTATCAATGAGAACGCTACACGTGTTCTTTTGTACAAAAGCTGGTAGAAAATTGAAAAAAGCTGATGTGTCATCAAGTGCAGTATTTTTAGCTCACCTGGTCCGAAGGACTAAGGTGAGCTTATGCCATACCGTGGCGTCCGTCGTACGTCAATAATTCCTTCAAACGGCTTCTTCTTCTTAACCACTGATTGGAATTCAACTAAATTTGACTGGAAGCATCCCTAGGTGGTGGGGCTTCAAAATTGTACAAATGGTGGGGCTGACCCCCCAGGTGGTTAAGGGGCGGGGCAAAAAGTGGTCAATTTGGCTATATTGCTTTAAGCGACTTCTCCTCTGTAACTAAGAGATGGATATCAACCATATTTTACTGGAAGCATCCCTAGGTATTGGGGATTCAAAATTATACAAATGGTGGGGCTGACCCCGCCAAGCGGGATGAGGGGCGGGGCAAAAAGGGGGCGATTTGGTTATATTGCTATAAACGACTTCTTCTGTAGAACTGTGCAATGGATATCAACTATGTTTTACTGGAAGCATCCCTAGATAGTGGGGATTCAAAATTGTACAAATGGTTGGGCTTAACCCCAAGGGGGCTGAGGGGCTGGGCCAAAAAGGGTTATTTGGCTATATTGGTTTCAGCAACTTCTTCTCTGCAACTAAAAGATGGACATCTGGACATCAACCATATTTGACCTGAAGCATCCCTAGGGAGTGGGGATTCAAAATTGTACAAATAGTGGGGCTGAGGGGCTGGGCCAAAAGTGGTCAATTTGGCTATATTGCTTTAAGCGACTTCCCCTCTGGAACTAAGAGATGGATATCAACAATATTTTACTGGAAGCACCCGTAGGTAGTGGGGATTTAAAATTGTACAAATAGTGGGGCTGAGGGGCTGGGCCAAAAGTGGTCAATTTGGCTATATTGCTTTAAGCGACTTCCCCTCTGGAACTAAGAGATGGATATCAACAATATTTTACTGGAAGCACCCATAGGTAGTGGGGATTTAAAATTGTACAAATGGTGGGGCTGACCCCCCAGGGGGCTTAGAGGCATGGCCAAAAGGGGGCAATTTGGCTAAATTGCTATAATGACTTCATCTGTAGAACTATGTGCTGGATATCAATCATATTGGTCAGAATCAAAGCATTCATGAGAGGTGGGGATTCAAAATTGTATAAATTGTGGAGCTGACCCCCCAGGGGGCTTGAGGGGCAGGGCCAAAATGGGTAATTTGGCTATATTGCTATAAAGGACTTCTTTTGTAGAACTATACATATGCACTGGATATCATATTTGATTGGAAGCATCCATGGGAGGCAGAGATTCAAATTGTACTTGGCTAAAGGGAGGGGCCAAAAATAGTTTATAGCTTGGAAATGGTTGAGATCCCCACCCTATAACCATATATACAATTGCTGAGAATGAAGAGAAGAATGCACATATGCTTCCAGGATTGCCCAGGGGTCTAGCCCCACCCTTGGAGACATAGTCCCTGGGTCATAACTTTGATCCCCACCCCAAAACTGTATACCGGTATACAAATGCTGTGCATAAAGAGACGAATGCAGTCATGATATAAGAATTGATTCCAGAGTCTGCTCCACCCTTGGAGACTTAACCCCTGGTTCATAACTTTGAAACAGTTAAGATCCCCATCCCAAAACTATATATACAATTGTTGGGCATAAAAAGATGAATGCAGTCATGATATTAGAATTGACCCTGGGGTCTGCCCCATCCTCGCAGACTTAACCTCTGGTTCATAACTTTGAAACAGTTAAGATCCCCACCCCAAAACTATATATACAAATGTTGGGCATAAAGAGACGAATTCAGTCATGATATTAGAATTGATCCTGGGGTCTGGCCACAAGCCTAGCTAGGGACCTAGTTTCTGAGTCACACCTTGGAAACAGTTGAGATCCCCACCCCATAACCATACGTGAAATTGCTGGGCATGACAAATCTAATACAGATAGGATACAAGGATTATCCTTAGTGTCTGGCCTATTCCTTTGGGTCTTATTTGGAGAATATTTTTCCATGATTACTTTGATATCCAGGTGAGCGATACAGACCCTCTGGGCCTCTTGTTTATGTTGCTATAATTATTTTTTTATTATGTAAATGGATATTAATTACCGGATAGAATTTTACAATGTATTTCCGCATAATATAGGGGAAGGGAAAATATTTTGTGATGGGAGGGGCCCTTTGGGGGATAATTGTTGTAATGTTAATATTACCACAATCTTTTTGCCCCATTAAATTCCTTTTTATGATAAACAATGAGGTATACAGTAAAGTTATTTGACCTGTAGCATGATGGGACATGGGGGCTATCAGTGTCTGGTGTAATAATTGACTGAGACCCATAATACAACAACTTAAAGTCACTGGGGTATACGTCATATGTGGTAAAGTCTTCAAACAAGTTTTACTTCAGAATCATCAAGTGACATCTGGGAAACAAGGTTCTGCAATGAAGTGGTATCAGGTTTATCCAAATTAATCACCTTGACACTCTTTCAAGGTCGCAATAGTCAATTGTGTTAAAAACCTGAAACAATTTCTTCTTAAAACCCATTAACCCAAGAGTCCAGTATTTGGTCTGTTAATGCTAAGATGAGGGACGGAATCATTTCCTTTAATTACTTTAACCCTTTCACCCATTGGTAATTTGAGTAGACTCTACCATACACTCATCTGGATGAGTCCATTATGGTCTATAGTGATGGAAGGGTTAAATGACTCTGACTTATGTTGTGTATGTTCTTCAGGGTAAAATTAGTTTTGGGCCAACTTAATTTTTTATGATATCACATACATGATCATAAATCACCAAAATATCACAACTTTTAAACCTAGTCTTTATTATCAAGTTTTAATTTGCAATCATATACTTCAGTCTAATACATATAGTTCAAAATGTTGATTCCTAATGCCCACAAATTTCTTTTGTAAATAGAGACATTTCAACAACAATTGGTCACTAATATATATATATAAAACACGATAAACAGTTATCTGTGTATTACACATGTTCGCAAAAACATGAATAAGATACACTGAGAAGTACATGTATACATTATTAACATTTGGCATATCAGGGGCTACTCACTCTACTTGGTTAACATACCCTTAATACAACTTAAACTTAAAATTTAACATCAAGACTCCAAAAAGACACCTAAAGAGGCTTGACTCTGCCGAACTCCAGAGAAGCAACTTGACTCTAAGACTTGAAATAGAATAGACCTAGAGAAGAAGCTTGACTCTACTGAGCTGCAGAGTGCGACTTGACTCTATTCCTGGAGATGATGATACATATATAGAAGCCACTGACATAGTAAATGAATAATATTTAAATTAATAAAGTATTGGGGGTTATATAAATATAAGGTTTTCCATGACATTGAAGGCTATCAGAAAACAACCCAGTCAACACAACACTGAGACATTTGTACATAATGTATACCTACAAACAACAGGTTTATGTGAATTAAAAGTCTACTAAATAACTACCAATAACCATGTTATCATAAAATCATGTACATAGATATATTTGCAGAAACAACTTCAAATATTAATTTAATAAGGGCCCGAAATCCGAAAGACTAACCTTAAAATTTTTCATAAAAATCTCCAATAAAGGTTGAGGTCACTGTTCCTAAATATAGACCATTGGGATACATGGTGGGCCCTTGCTGACTTGTCAGTATTCTAGTTGGTATAATGATCCTCATAGTGATAATCTATGCTCTTTCCCACCATGATAAACAGATTTGTCAAGAAGGTAAATAATAAGACCACTTTAATGAACAGTAAACTGTCAATTTGGTCTGATTAGACTATATGTTTCTGTCAATGTTTAGAAAATCTTTTTCTCACAAAATCAGCACATCCACTTACTCTCAGTGAAGAGATCAGACAACCATTCATAGTAAAGCTGAGTTTCAACATCATAGTCTGTTAATGTGTATAGTCCTTTGTTTCATCTCCTTAAAGACGGTGTAGTGTCATTACGGTTATCTCCCCTTTAGTGGTGATTGGGCACCCTGTGTAAGCTCCCTTACTATGATGTTATATCAAGTGGTTATTTCCCTTTTGGAGGTGGGTGGGAGCTACTGAAGGGTCCCTTAACAGGACGGATATGTGGGGTGTTTAAACCACTTAACTGTTGTCGTTGCTGAGTTTGTTCGCGAATGCTCTTCATAAATGGCGCCTTAAAAGGAGATGTAGATCCTGTCGCCTGTTGTCGCTCTCCACCTGAACTGTGTGGTAAATGTTTACCCACTCCTGTGCATGGTGTTGGGTTTAGAGAGGCAGGGGGTGTAGGCACTGTTAAGTTGCCCTCCTTAGACAGAGGTGAGGAAACATCAGAGCTCACTTGATCCGAGATGTTAATTTGACCTTTGAATGTCCCCAGCAAGTTTCTCAGCTCATCAATCAATAGATTTGACCTGTTCTCCCTGAAGTCTGCTGCTTCTAACCCTGGAACACGTGGAGGCTTCAGGTCTGAACTCTTGATTTCTGTACACGTATCGTAGACTTGTATCGGACCACCAGCCTGTAGTGTGTTCTTGCTCCTCTCCAGACGGTCTCCAACCAGCTGTAAGTTGTCATTGAGTTCAGACAGATATTTCTCCAGTTTGGCAGCGTTATGCTGCTCCATTTCCTGAAACGCTCTGACATACTGGACTTTCATGTCATCCACCCAGGATTTTATCTCCACGCTACGTTTCTCCACTTTCGAGACAAGGTTTTTAAAGTGTTTAGAGTTCTCAACTTTTTCCTTCTTCGTTGACTCGATCTCCTGTTGTAACTTAGTAATGGTGTGTTTCTCGACCTGGTTTATAAAGGTTTGTAGGTATTCTGTACGCATTGTGTTGTCGTTGGCGTCTAACACACTAACCAGAGTGTGACTTGGGTGCTGTTTGACACACTGTGGACACAGTAAGTCTCCCCCACAGTCCTTGCACACGAAGGCCACATCTTGGCTTCGATGCATGTTGCACCGTGAGCTTCCTGGAGCACGAACCGCAGCTTGTGCACGTACAACACTCTGGTTAGGATTGCGTGACATCTCTGATGTAGTAGTGGAGGTTTTGTCACACACAATGTCCAGGTCCTAATACTGATAGAAGTCTAAATCAAGTTCGACAAGATGCATGCTTTCTATAACTTTTAACACACAGATCGTTTATTACCTCCAGGGTATATCATGAGTTTTTTTCAAAACAAGTCACTAGTCATCACTTCCATTTTACACAGCAGCTGTTTTATATATGACCCAGAGAAAAGGACTTCCTTCTTTTAAGAATCCACTATACCCTGTAACGATTGATTGAAGTGTAAGACTGTCAGACGTAAAAGTTTTCTCTTCCTTTATCCTTATCCTCAAAAACTGTACTAAGTTTTACTTCCTTAATAAATGTGTGTGGGGTCTTTGTTACCTGGGCACTTGTGTATTGTCAGGTGTATGTGTATACATACCTGTACACAGACTAGAAGACTTACACTACCCGGGAATCTGATCCTCTGATCCTCCCACGTGCTATATAATTACTTGTTGGTTGTAACATTTAATAGATGTTTTGAGTCGTGTTGTTAAGATAAAATAGAAAGAACTGTACTTTTAAGGGTCAGTCATGAAATGTTTATTACCTTTGTTTTATAGTTTTATACCAGTATTAAAAACAGAGGGTCTACTCCTTAGGAAAAAGATCTAATGGGCGTTGGACTTTGATCGTTTGAAATGGTATCACAAGATCCCATCCTATTTCAAAAGATCAAAATGTTTATGATTGACCCAGTGTATAGCAAGCACCTGTCTATAATGGCATCCTTGTATAAAAACACCTGTCTATAATGATTTACTGGGTATAAAAAACACCTGTCTATAATGGCATCCTTGTATAAAAAAAACCTTTCTATAATGGCATTCTTGTATAAAACACCTGTCTATAATGATTTACTGTGTATAAAAAAAACTGTCTATAATGCCATCCTTGTATAACAACACCTGTATATAATGACATCCTTGTAAAACAAACACCTGTCTGTAATGACATCCTTGTATAACAGCACCTGTCTATAATGACATTTTTGTAAGACAAACACCTGTCTGTAATGACATCCTTGTATAACAACTCAAGTCTGTAATGACATCCTTGTGTAACAACCCCTGTCTGTAATGACATCCTTGTATAACAACTCAAGTCTGTAATTACATCCTTGTGTAACAACACCTGTCTGTAATCACATCCTTGTATAACAGCACCTGTCTATAATGACATTTTTGTAAAACAACACATGTCTATAATGACATCCTTGTATAACAGCACCTGTGTGTAATGACAATGTCTATAATGCCATCCTTGTATAACAACACCTGTTTATAATGACATTCTTGTATAACAGCACCTGTCTATAATGACATCCTTGTAAAACAGACATCTGTCTATAATGATATTTTGTGTTTAAAAAATATCTGTCTGTAAGGACATTATTTTATCACAACACCTGTCTGTATTGTAGTTCCTTGTAAACAACATAAAATATCAATAATAGAACACAGTATATATGGCAGGTATGGGAAATACAGTTTGAAACTAAAGAGCTATGTTATTTTTTGAAGGATTACAATCAGAGCCCGCAGTCATGGCAACCAGACTATGCTTATACACAGGGCTACCGCCCCCAGAACGCCAACACAGGTACAAACAGGTATGTGTCACTGTCACTGAGGAATAGACATATCTCTCCTTTAAATCAATATTGACTGTAACAGTTTTGATGTAGATTGGGTATATTTTTGTTCATGCTTAGTCGACCAGTTTGTTACTATGCTGAACTGATTGTATCCCTGATAATAACAGGTACCTGCCGTACCCAGACGATGTGGGAGTGGAGTCTGACCTCATTCAGGACTACACAGATGCCCTACGTATAGATGACCCATCCTGGATCCACTCAGCAGGTACACAGTGAAAGACGACCTCCTGTCCAGTCATGGTTCTTAGTGTAGTGTTGTTTTTTCAGGGTTATGTCATACATAGTGAACATCTTTAGTCTAGATATAGTTCCCTGTGAAGTATCATTAGATCACCTACATGTAGAGTGACGTACCAGGTAAGCTTGTATGGTGGTGCTTTGTCCGCTGTCTGTCCTCTGTCAAGTAATGTGCTTTAAATAACCAAGCAGAATTTAACCAAATTGTGCTGCTAGCATAGGGATCAAAAGTCATACAAATAAAGGGGCTTACACGAGTGTAAGTTGGCTCATCTGTTTTAAATGATTCATATTCAAACCACTAAGCAGATTTCAATCAAATTGCATCCGTATGTGCATCCCGAGCACAGTGCACTTGGAGATCAAAGTTGTACAACTCAGGGGCCTACCCCGCTAGGGCTGAGGGTTGGGGTCAGAAGGTGTTGAATGGCAAGAATTACTTGAATACAGTATGTTTGTTAACTAGTTTATAGCTTGCACTATCATATATACATATCTGTGCAAGAGATTTTCACCTGTGAACACTCCATATGTACTAACAGGTACACAATTGAGATGCCAGGATATCTTGTCCCAAACTACTGAGCATAATTCTACCAAATTGTAATGGTCACATCCTTTAATGGCTCTTATAGGGATCAAAAGTTAAACAACTAAAAGGGCTTAACTTATTTGGATTTTACAAGTGAGGTTTGGTGGTGGGGAGGTTTAAACGACAAATCCTGAGTGGAAAATAACACTTTTTTTCATGTTCTGCAATAAACTACTGACGAATCTGTGATCATCAATTACCCATCTCGTCAACTTGACATGTTTTCTGATGACGACATATTGAATCACGACATCTGGGAAATGTTCATTGGGACATCTATTCCACCATATTAATGAATATTGACCACATTCCAACTAGCAGGATGATTGCTTTCGATATTTTTGTGCCTCACACATGTAAAAAATAAAGGTAAATATTCACCCCTCTTGTTGAAATATTGCTGAAATTCAGAAATTCATCAATAAAAAAGGAATATGTTGATTAAATTTGTTAAAATTCAACTCTACTAAATTGTACAGTATAACAACCTATGAGTGAGTTTAACTGTTGACTTGTATTGTTCCAGGGTTACATCCCCATCAACAGGAGGAGTCACCAAATCCTGAGGTAACAAATTAAATAGAATTATCTCCCTTTTAGGGTAATGAGAAAACCGTCAGAGGTCAGGTATATAATCCTTTTCACAACCATACCGAAATACTTATCATTCTATCATCTTCATATTTTGTTTGGTCCTTGTATAAAAGAAGATGCAATCCAAATGTTGTAAAAAATAATTCTCTGATGAAATAAAAAAAAATATGCCACTTCTTTATTTCTATTCTCACTGTTCACCTAGTACAGTCCATGTATTTCAGCTCATTCAGTAGGCAATCTTGCTAATACAAGATCCAATTTCGCTATAAGGATTTTTGAAATGCCTTGCAGGGGTCATGTTCTGGTGACCTTTTTGCTCTAGCCAATCAGTGCTATGCTGTTGGATATTGTGTAAAAGATCACAAGTACCTGACTCTGAACAGCATCATCCGATTAAGAAATGTTGAGTATCACTGCTGATTTTAAGACCTGTTTTAATCAGAATGTCCCAACCTCGCTATACACTGTATGCTAAGGCCTTTTGGCATTCTGTAATTAGCATACAATGTAAATGCATTGTAATATTCCTATTTTCATTGTATTTTTCAGACTGAAGAGGATGACAGCTCTGCCAATGTGATTCATTTTGGAGTTGTGTGATACTTTAGGAGAACAGTAATACCACCATATCAGTGTTAGATCGTCAATGAATTGTTTGTCAGCGTGAACATTTTCTTTCTGACATTTTGATTTAGCTGCCAAATTTAGTTTCAGTTCTAAACAAAATGACTGTTGTTTATTAAAATTACAACTGCACTGATTACAATCATTACAAAAAATGAAATTTATTATAAATCCTGGTAATGGAGTATCGGAAATGGGTTGTTCGACTTGTATATCACCGTTGATCTACAGAGTGCCATGCTGGAAAAGTTAAATGCACCCTACGGATGTCATGATACCTATGCCTTAGATACTGTGAGACTCAAAAATCATCAGAACATATCACTGGAAACGGAATATGTAATATTAATGTACATTCATTTTATACATCCTTGTTACTAGGTCCATCTGACCAACAAATATTTTTATTATTAAATCAGGAAAATGAAATATATCCATCAAACAAAAAAGATGGCAGATNGGGGGGCTTATTGCCAGGCATGGGCTTATCACCAGTAAAATATGGCATCTATGTGTAATTGTTACAAAGTTAGCGCCTGAGCTAGCCGTTTTTGGCCAGTATTGAGTTTTTTGTAATACTGATTTTCATAAACTGAAGAAACAAATTGCTGTATTCCACATTGAATACATTATAGTTTCAGACTGTATTAAATTGTTTATTTTGATAAGAGTGTATATTATTGATATGTACAAACTAAAAAAAGAACATTCATCAAAGATATCTTATAGTTTACCACAGGCGCCTGGTTGTGTAATGGAACTGTAGAACAAGTGGATATGAAATGCTATAATTTTGTTTGAAACACCGGATCCGATTTACAGAAATTCGGAACATCAAACCATACTACTTATCTATTTTTAACCAGGCTCTATTTCGTAACTTTTCGATGAATCATTGTGGTCTGAAGATATGTGATTATGACAATGATAGCATCTTATATACTTGTGTTTTACGGCACATGTAGCATACACAACCCAGGCGCCTGTGAAAGTGAAAGTATTACACATATCAATTATTAATGTTACAGAGAATGCTGTGAGTGAGGGTGTGTTTGCATGTGTGAGTGTATGAGGTTTTGGTGTACAATTGAGTGTGTAAGAATGTATCAGTTTTAAGGGGAGTGGTTTGTAGAGTTATTAAACTATTTTCAGAGATTTGTATAAAATCTGATTTATCCGAAGTATTTTATTTGTTTGTTGTTTGTTATTTTATATCACCCAAAAAGAACACTACAAGTTAAGGGGACATGCTGGAATATCCTAACGTCTCCTTGAACGATTGTCCGTAAGCGGAACTTTGTCATGACAAGTCCTTTGGAGTTTACCCTCCATCGAAATTTGCAGACACTACGGATAAAATGACCACAATTTGAAGTACTCAATTCGACTATTTCGTGGGAGTTACGCCCCTTATTTCAAAATCGTAATACATGACGTCCTGAATAAATGTGATGCTCATTAAAATCCTGAAACAGATTTCAAAACTTGCTATATATACGCAGTCAGCAGTTGATTTAACTGTAAAAAAATGCTGAAATGTGATAAGTGAAGATTTAGTTAGAATGATGGGTTATAATTCGTAATTCACTAGATACGGGCATTTACCCAAACCAATGAAAGCATGCATTCGCCATGCCTTTATTTAAAGGGGGTGATAGATACAACGCATATATGTAATTCCTGCCCAATATCTCTTCTAAGTACAATGGCAATGCTTTTAAGAAGTTAATATCTTCATAACTATTTTTAGAATTATAATCGCAAACACATTGTTGTACAGATATCAGCCTGATTTAAATTTTCAACCCGGTCATTAAACGGTACACCAATTAATTGAAATATATCATAACTTATGTATGAGCCTCGAAAAAAAATTTCAACATGTCTAGTATTTTGCGATATTTCCCAGGCGTTCGACCGGGTCTGGCATAGTGCATTTATAAACAAACTAAAACGTTATTGTTTACAAGTTTATTGTTTTTCCTCAGATACATTAAAATGTACATGTACAATATTGAGTAAGTGGTAAGTTGCTTACATGGCTAAAAAAATATTTGTCAAATAGGTATCATCAGATACTAACACAACAAACGCTGGAGTAACTCAGGGTTCTGTACTTGGGCCTCTGTTATTTATTTATTTACGGGTAGCTATATATAGTTATAGCAAAGTTCGTGCTCGGGCTTATTGATATAACTGATTACAAAGCCCGTCTCGAGACTGTTTGCAGATGATACGTCTATTACATATTCTGACAATTTACCTTTAAATATTGAAACTATTATGAATAATGACCAAAAAATAATCAAGAATTGGGCAAAAAAAGTGATGGTAAAGTTTAACCCAACAAAAACTGAAGCATTATTAGTATTTTAACACTGAATCCGAACTTAATATTAATCTAACCTTTGACGACGTAGACATTTGTTGAAAGCCACAAACAGTATGGAATAACAACACTAGGTGCAAACCTGAAATGTTCCCGGGTTGATGCAGATAAATAAGATAAATAAGTCCAATTTGAAGCTACACGCATCGTCACGGGGATGCCTTACTACATTGTATGCCAGCAGAGAATCCCTCTACTTCGAAACTGCATGGGAAGCCCAATCCCTTTGTAACATACTTACAGCAATCGAATAGGTTTAAACTAATGCAGTAGCATTGCTCATGTCCGACAAAAACTCTCGAAACTAATACAACCAAGAAGATAAGTTTGTATTGTCTTAATACAGCCCACTATGACGTCAACCTAATATTCAATATCAAAAAGAAGGTTTCAAAAGTATCCAATACTTTATAAAATAGAGATAACTTTAAATGAAATAGAAATACCTCTAAAAATGGATAAATAGGAAATAGAGATTAAAATAAATTAAAGACACAAAAATGGTATTTTTCGGGTAAGATATTTTTAAATGTAGTACATATATATGTGTCTAAATCAAATAAATATCTGATGAATTGAAGATGTAAATTAAGATATAGTTGTCTCTGAAAACATGTGAAGTTTTTCAATGTGTAAGATATATTTCAATTTATTAACGATATCTTTAAGAGAATTCATAATTGGTATTGTAATAGAAGCGGGAAAATGCAAAGCCATATTGAAATTTGAACCCGGACCCTCCAAACTCGGCTAGACGGACGCTCTACCAAATGAGCTAACTGATTACCGACGATCGACCCATTCCAATCCGCTTCATTCCTCCCTGTTAAAATTTCTAACTTCTTCATCCCCGAAAACAACAATATTTACAACCCAAGTTCGGCGGGTATCCCCTTGCCAAACTTTCACCAAGCAGGTACTTGAAACAAGAGTTGTTCGCAGGCACCAGTTTTGTAATTTCAGGATAGGTTAGAGCTACAAATTGACATCAACAAAGTGTGTGAATGGACTGAGAGTGAGAGGTGGCTCATGAATTTAAATTTAGAGAAATGCAAACACTTGGAAATTGGTAATACATCCAGCAATAGCCAGTACAACTTCACAAACGAAGGAGTCACAACCATGATTGTAAAAACAGCCAAGGAGAGAGACCTTGGAGTGACATTCGACAAACAGCTCAAATTTAGCGAACATGTGTCTGCAGCCGTCTTCAAAGGAAACAGGATGTTAGGAATTATTTTTAGAACATTTACATTTCTAAATCAATCAACATTCCTATTATTATACAATTCACTTGTCAGACCTCATATTGAGTACGAGTGCTTCACAATATGGTCACCCCTCCTAAAGAAAGACATACAATCAGTGGAAAACATACAAAGACGTGCACCTAAAAGGTTAATAACATTGCAAGACTTACCTTACTCAGTCGACTAAAATGACTAGGATTGCCCACGCTTGAATATAGAAGACAACGGGCTGATATGATTCAAGTGTACAAAATTCTGAGTGGTGTGTGTGGACGATGCAGACAAGTCTAAATTATTTACCGAATCCACCTATCCGGCAACTAGAGGTCACCAGCTAAAGCTCTTTAAGAAACAATGCCGCTTAATTAAAATACCAATTGGAACAATTTATCAGCTGAAGTGGTTAATGTCGAAAGTTTGAATAGTTTTGAAAATTGGTTAAACCGGCGTGCACTGGAAAGATCATACACACAAATTGTATCCGTCCTTTTAATCGTCTAGACTGATATACTTTATGTCATACAATGTATGCCATTCTTCGCGCACTCAATCGATCATCAACCAATCAATTAACGAAATGTAGATAACTAACATCATTACAAGATACAGGCTTTCCATTGATGTCTTACCTATGAGAATATAGAAGCAAGAAAATAAACAGCCATACTGGGATTCGATCCCGGGAAACTCCGAACTCTTACTAGACGGACACTCTACCATTTAAGCTAGGCCTAATGTTTGCCGACGATCGATCCAGTCCAGTTTTGCCTCACACGGTATTGGAATTTTTGTTTATAAAATATTAACAGATCATTCTGAATTCATCTTGAAGAAGATGAAAACATTTCGTTAAAGAAAATGATTTTATTTTTTGCTGCAAGGACGCCAAACCCCGAATAAAAGAAACCACACCGGAAACACGTCACAATAAACCGTTCCATCTCTGGGTCACGTGTGCCGGAAATTCGTCATACTCATTATGACGTCATCTGTTGATGTCACGTGTTATCTCTATCAACGAGACACACAACTTCGAATTCGGTCACGATATATTTCGCTCTCACTATTTTCCCATATTTCTCTAAGTTTTATTTTCAAGAATTACGCAAGGATCGTCACAGACAGAGTTATCTAGGTAAGTTACTTATGCCAAGTAAAATTTTCCAGTTTTGATAAGAATTTTGACTGAAAAAATGATTAATCTGTGGTCATCCAGTCCGCACAGAAAGAGGNGGGGTTACTCTGAGCATGCCCACGTGAAATCTAATCTGTTTGTTAGTGACTACAGAACGTACATCGAACACCGTATAATCGAAATAAATATGGTTATTGTGGCTTATATAATTAGTATAGAATATACTTCTCTCTGGTCCTAGGAGGAATAAAAAGTTTAAAAAGGAGGCAGGACCCAAACTGAATCAGTACCCAATTAGGATCACTCTTTGCAAAAATACTTTGAAATCAACAAATGTGTCAAAAGTTAATTTATTACAATAACATATCCTTATAATACATACTTAAGCATCATTTTTGATTTTAGAGATGATAGATTTTTAAGTTTAAGCAGCATCAGAAGACATATAATATATCAAACTCAAAATCTAGCATTTTTTTTTTACGTTGTTAAAAATGGCGCGTGCAAGTATGTATTTTGTTTTGCATTGTAGGAATAAATGCAGACTATAGAAATTCTTGTATTCATACAAATTCCAAAGAGCATCATAAAATATTAAAATGCTGACAAAGTGCAAAATATTGCAAAAGTCAAGCTGTGAGTATGGTCCGTTTTCGGGTACTAACATTTGCATTAGGAGTTTTCCCCTTTCTTTAAACTATTGCAAAGTTTCCGAATGGTAGGCTAAAAAATATTTTTTTCTTTTAAAAGTTCAAGAACGTTTTTGAAACTAGGGTCTCAAACCTGTTCCACATCTTTTGATCTTTCCCTTTCAGACAAGCAATGGATAACATTCGTACCAAGAAAAGACAATGGCGATCACCCCGCCCAGACGACCAGCAACCACAAGGTCGTAATCAGATCCGCTTGACCAGGATGGACGACACTTTGGTAAGTAATGACAACAGTGCAATTTAAACTAGGAGAAATGTCTATAGATTTCATTGCCAGTGGTATTTGGGACGGATGAAGGAACTCTTTCAATTATCGAATACATCTCAGCTCGGACATTTTTCCAGTTCTGCCAAAACGTTTACTATAATAATCTAGACTAGGCCTAGTATGACTATGACTATACGATAACCTCCCTTTTTATACAAAATGGGGAAGCGATCACTGTACAGCTGTGTGCCAGGCGACAAACCAAATAGTGTATGTCTTGACTTCCAATGTAAAGAAACACGGTCTTCAATGTGTTTGAGCGGGATTTATTTTTTTGAAAAAGGTGTAAATCTTGAACAATAAAAGTTTATATATAACGTTACATTTCATACAGTTTAAGATTTATATTTGTTTTACCAGAAAGTGATCCTGAGAAAAGATAGTTGCCAGCGCATAGTCATTGACAATCATTGTCGTTGGTCAGAACCGAAACCAGCGATGACGACAGTTCGAGACAGATTTCATTGGTCCAAACCGAAATGTGAGGACGCTACGGCAAACAAACAGGTACTTATTTTCTTTAGACCTTTACTGTAAAAATAATGTAATAGATATCAATGACATATTCTAATATCGGTAAACGAATTTTTTTGTACTTAATATATATATGCACTTAAAAATCATTTCATATTTACAAATCTTGTATTGTAAATTAAGATGCACTTATCAACAACTGTTTATTTTTCAGAGTTCTAATGTCAAGCAGTTATCAGACAAAACACAAACAAAGGCTGACTTGTCTCAACTTGCTGGATTTTTAAAGGTACACATCCGGTTTAGTTCGTTACGCAAGTACACAAATACATATTGTTTTACGGGTTCCGTTATTTTTGGAACTATTCAGAGATATAATAAACAACTTTCATTGAAAGAAAGCCAAACCGATTCCTTTACAATTCTACTTTAAAAAAAGGTTTTTGCCTCTGATCTGTCATTTTTTTCCTACAGAAACGTTCCTTCTCTGATGGCACAAATACCCACACGACTGTTCATACCTCTGACGTCATCAAGAAAATCAGCCATACCTGTGATGACAAACCTGTCTACAATAATTACAGGAATACGTTCTGTTCACCTCTAAAGGTATTTAATGTAATATTGCACGTCCTTTATGTAATCTTTGTTCTTGTAATATCTTGTATTGTAATGTTCTGTATTCTGTTGTCTTAAGTAAGTTTTTATTTCACTGCTGTGGTTCTTCAATCTCTTTTTCCTACATTATCCTTTCTGTGTTTTGAAATGATTATTTTTCTCACTTATTTCATGTATGTCCATTACTTTTTTTCTGCCTCATTTTTGTTATTCTACCTTCTACTTTCTTTCTCTCTCCTTCTGTCCATCCTCCAAAGGAGAACTCAAGTGACCAAGACAGCGTCCTTTGTGATATTAAGCACAGGACTGTCCTTGACCCAGCAACCAAACCTTCTTGGTAAGGGTCAAAGACGTACAGCTACTGAATTGGTTTATTATCTAACCTATTTTATGATTTTTTATTATGTGTTTTGTCTTCTGCTGGTTTCCAAAATAAACAGGATTTCTCTATTCATTTCAAGTACGTTTCATGGAACAATTAACATTTCTTGTTTAATAACATACAGCTTCCCTTTTTTAAACAGTTTGAAAGCCGACAAGAGGTCAGTTGCTGTATTTGAAACTGATGATGATTTTGACTACAGCCTCGATCTGATGGTAAGTTTATAGGCGTAGTTACTGTATGAAATAAGTAATAAGTTTTAAATAGATCGACTCCTATATATATGTGTGTACATGCATATATATGAGACTTAACATAGAATGTAAAGTTTGTTTTGTTTCTGTTTCTTTCACTATGTTTGACATCTTCCTTTCTGTCGTTCTAGGGGGAGTACACCCTCAAAGTTAGTGACCAATCAAAGAAACCAACGCCCTTTTGGTTTGAGGCTGGTCAGACTACTTGCAATGTACCGTCTGTCAAACAAACAGTAACTCTTGACGCAGTGTGCAAGACTGACCAACGACCTTCCCTGAACGTGTCACTGGATACGACCCGCTTGCATCCTCAACAGTTCACTCCCGAAATCGATCTTGGAATTGTGTTGGATACACCACAGGACCATGAAGAGTTTGACAGTATTATGAACAGTAGGCGTGGCTATACATATATTAACAACAGCAGACACAGAGGCATGAAGCGAAGAATCGCTTATGATGACGAGGAAGAAGTTCCTATTCCTTGTAAAAGGCCACGGACTTGTTGATTCAAATGAAACAGAGACTTTTTAATTTGCTAGTTAAGAAACGTGGGTGTGGGGATGACAATATCGAAAAGGGCGTGGTCATGTGGCTACGAATAGGCTGTGGTCATACTGATATCAGGCGTGGTCATGCGAATGTGGGCGTGTTCAAACAAATTATAACAAGTTGTTAGATGCATAAGTACAAGTAATTTCACCGTCTATTTGTCCGCATGTTTGTCTGTCTGAATGTCTGTTTTCATGTTTGTAAGTCTGTCTGCATGATCGTCCGTATCTGTGTGTTAAACTATACATGTCCAAGGAAGAAGCTTGCCACAATGCTTGGTGGTTGTTGACACTCAGAGTGGTACATACATCATTTTGACTGTCAGAACGTTTGCCATTTGACTAAAGCTCTTTCTTATCTGTTGTTCATATCCGATATTTTTGTCGGTCTGTTTGTCTGCATGTTTGTCCGTATCTGTGTGTTAAACTATTTATGTCCAAGGAAGAAGCTTGCTACAGTACTTGGTGGTTGTTGACACTCAGAGTGGTACGTACATCATTTTGATTGTCAGAACGTTTGCCATTTGACTAAAGCTCTTTCTTATCTGTTGTTCATATCCGATATTTCTGTCGGTCTGTTTGTCTGCATGTTTGTCTGTCTGTCCGCATGTTTGTCTGTTTTAAGTGCATGTCCAAGGAAGAAGCTTACTACAGTACTTGGTGGTTGTTGACACTCAGAGTGGTACGTACATCATTTTGATTGTCAGAACGTTTGCCATTTGACTAAAGCTCTTTCTTATCTGTTGTTCATGTCCGAAATGACGATGTATTAACGCACACGGTGTCTAGTACTAGGTACAATCTTGTTAGGTTATGCGAGTAAGTGTTTATTTTTGTAAATGTCATCGGGTAACTTTTATAATTGTAGTGTAAGTGTAATTGTGTATCTAGCGTGTAAGTGTGTATCTAGAGTGTAAGTGTGTAATCTGGCATGTAAGTGTATAATCTAGCGTGTAAGTTCGGTGTGTAAGTTGATTACCTGAGCTATTTTTTATTGCCGATCTGCTGTGCAGATCCTAATTTTATAATAGTTGTATTTATTAAAATAATTTATATTTTATATCTTCGTTTGTTATAGTTGTTTTATATCATATAGTAGTTGTGAAAATTGGAATACAATCAATTGCACGAACATAGGAACATGAGAAACTCGCCACACTGAGCAAATTACGAATAAAGTATAACTGTAGTAATATGCTCCGGAAGCGCCTTGGTGTAAGGATGGGTTTGTGTCACTTACAAACGTTATACAAACTTTGACACGATCTATCACCGCAACACACCGGCTAGATCAATTATTAGTCACAAAAGCTGAAAAAGTTCCCGTTTTTAACTATAATGACTAATATTACGACAAATGCCTGTGGTCTGGGTTAGTGACATCCCTGCCTCTTAGTGGCCATTGAAACAGGGACTCGTTACTTATACTTATATGTTGATATATGGGTCACATAAAGTAAAACCAATAACATTGCATGGTACAGATCCTGGACATTTCTAAACATTTAGAATTCTGGACATGGTTTACAGATATTCGGTCAGAAAAATGTAATTATGTGTTAATGCATCTTGATTTTTGTACAAATTAAATAAATGGCCGTAATGATTGCCGAGTTTGATAGTAAACTTTGCACTATTAGTTGCGAGATGATAGTGGAGGATCGATCGTTTTCCAATCGATCCTCCGGATATATCAACTATCATCACGAAATGGCAAGAGTTGTTCCCCTTGCCCTGGGTTTCAGTCGCAACAAAACCATACAGCAATGCTTCACCATAGATGTATCGAAAATCGGTAAAAATGTCCAAAATGTACCAAACATATATTAATTTTATATAGATCTACCCGTGTTACTTAATTACAATTTGAGGTCTTGATTCTTTGGCAAAAAAAATTAAGATATTTAATGGGGACTCTAACATGCTAATAGCACGGACTTAGATAACAATAGTTATTATAGAGAAATGTATTCACATGTTGCTATTCGTTTCATTGAAAACACTCGCCTTAAACAAGCATCATTAACTTCACAAGATAATTTAGTCTGATGCCTGTATAGCCTTGTATATGCCATTAAGTTGCAATAATATTAGTGGCGATGTGTCTGTTGTGTGATTGATTGTCTTAATTAAATAAAACGCATTATTGATTAAGACTGGTAGAATAACGTTCTTTTCCCCGCGGTATTTGCAAGGAAATGTTGTCGTCATTTTGTTTCAAACGTCGAATCTCAGGATGACCTACAACTATGGTCACTATCAAACGTTTCAGGAACACAAGATAAGGCATTGTGATTACAAGCGGTCATCGGTAGGTCACTTTTATAAGACTTCTTGATGGTAGAACCCTTAAACAACAGGGAGTCCCGGACCTGCGAATTTGTTACAGCTATGGCATAAGTTACCGTTAATATATATATCCTTGGGTTCAGTGTTTCCGCGCACTTAAGAACCAACCGCGATTTCGTACTCATATCGGTAGAAAACTGTTGAAATTACGGATGACTGTCATAAACATGTAAACAATCTACTTTAATGGAAACAAAAAACTATCGACATAAAACTTTTTTTTTTAATCAGAACAAACAATTTTTAACAAATTTCTCCCGTCGGAAGTAGCCGTCATATGTTTCCGTGTGTCTATTTTGATTTAATGTTCAAAGAAAGATAACTCGAATACACTAAAAAGAAATTCTCTACAGTGACCTGCAAGAACAATCTTTGATCGTCAAATTAATTATCAAAACATTTTGTTTTAAATTACACATTTTTAATTGATTTTTCAAGATGTCAAATTGAACAAATTCATGTAATTTTATAAATTTATTCATTATATTTATTTAGTTATAACAGAGACGTAGAGATAATGTATTATATGTCTCTGGTTATAATATAGAATCTGTTATTATTATTTTTCTGTAGTCTTATATCGGTTTTGGTTGATGGTAAGGTATTTGTCATTTTGTTCAGTTTAAAATTGGTGAAAATAGGAAGTTTAATGGATTACAAGGTTTACGTTTCATTGAAAACACTGTTTATCGATATAAGAATGTCTCCTTGCATCGGCAAGGAGATGTGGCCTCATTTTGCATACGACATTTTCGTACGTTTATCAATCTACAAAAAAGACCGGTTAATGAATGAAATATATCACCGTTTTTACAGGTATGGGCTCATTTTGAGCAAGATAAAAAGTGCATTAAGCATAACTGCATATTTATGCGTATTTTTTAACGATAAATCAGTGATTAGTTCTTATGTTTTCCAGTAATTTTTGTGTCAGTTTACAGACGATGGCCAATCGTCTAAAATATCCTTGTGTTGTTTCCAGCAGGTCACGTAGTTACGAGATATAGCTTGATAAAATTTGCTGCGCGGAAATACATAACGCGCAGAAACTGATGACTAGACGATACTACATATTTCTCAGCTAATTAGGTCAAAAAATAGTTGTAACAAATTATCAGGTCCCTGTGATCTAAAGAACCGGGAAACAACCAAGTGCACGAGTCCGTCGTCTTGAAATCCATTCCGTCATCTTATAGCGTGATATATGCGTTTAAATTTCGCTCCATTTAAACACCATGTGATGACCTACTTCATTGACATAAGCAGATCCACATTGCCTGGCGTGTGACGTCAATACTTGATACCCCCTCTAGGCGAGCTCCTTTCGCCGAAACGTATAAAAGCTCGGCAGTGGCGGCGAAGTGTGGCTTTCTCAGCCCCCGACGGTCGAAGTGTATATCGTTCCTCGGAAATTCTGCCATCAAAATTTTACTTAGATGGCGACTCCTAACCCGGTGGTGAGTCTAGAACGCAATTAGATTGATGGTGTTTCGTAGAGGCATGTAGTTTATCTAAATTAGACGATTTTAATTTTCTCACGGCTACTGCGAGTGATGGTGAAAGGCTGATGAATGTGCTATACACAGACATGCAGTCTAGCATAGGCCTACACGGTAGGGTACCGACATATCACGGCCAAGACCCACATTCTGGCTTGTTTCTACACATGTTGAAAAGTCTCATACGTATTTCCAGCTGTATTATGACATTTACACTAAATTTAGGTTTATAAAATATGATATTTTTCTTGTGTAAACATCATGACAAAGCAATAATAACACCACACAAACAGTAATTGTTAACACTGCCATAATTACCCCAATTATAAGCTAAACATTGGTTATACTCAATGCAAGGATCACTGCCAGTATTAATGATATCGTGATGTTAGCCTTTTATTTTATTTTTGTATGATATTTAAAAAAAATAGAGAAAATACTAAATCTGCATTAATATTTTATCATAATAGAAAAACCCATTGGAGAATAGCAACAGGTGAATACATTTCTCTATAATAACTATTAGCATGTTAGAAATGTCAATATTTTTTCATTGATTATAGTGTATTGTCACTTTTCAAAATTACAGGATGTAAATTCACATTTGAGTATTTTTTGTCATTGGTGGTTATATCACCATTATTGGTTGACACTGTTCTTGCCATTTTTTTTTTAATTCTGATGTGCTTCTTTTATAAATATCATACAAAAATATACAGGAGACATCTAAAATATCCTAATATCCATATATATAAATCAATGAACTTAAGACTTAGTATCGTTTTAATTCTTTGTCCAAATACAAAATGTTGTTAACTCAAGACTTAGTATCATTTTAATTCTTTGTCCAAATACAAAATGTTGTTAATTTCCAATTGCCCCTACCTACCCTAATTTTTTGTGACATAATACATTAATTCTTATAAATACTGATCTTTGCTATAATTGTTACTTATAGTTATTTAATGGCCAATCATGATCAGCGTAAGTCATACAGAATTGCACAGTAGAAAATCTTGTAAACAGTGGAGGTGTTTTGAGTAAAGAGAGATACTAAAGTTAAAAATGAAGAAGATATAGAAAAATCTAAAGATGTAACTTCATATTGATAAATGCTACATAATTCATGTTGCTATAAAAGTGTCCTAATAAGCATCCAGTACACAAAGGCATGTACATATGTGGAGGTATTAGGCAGTAGCGAGTGCCATAGGACCAGAGTATTACCTGTAAAGTGGTTGATAGGGGCAGTTGCAGCAAAATGCTTGTATTGAATTTACAAATTGTATGTAAAAATGTTCATTTTTGTGTATCTTGTTTAAAGCACCATATGAGTGACTTATTCTGGTTATTAAATAAAGAAACAGTGCTATATTGAATGCTATTAAAGGCTAAACAAAAAAAACGTTTTTCTTTCCTGTTACATCCCTGAAAAAATTAGGGTAGGTAGGTAAAACATTTAATTTTTTAATTTAATTTTATAAGAATTGATATATTATGTCACAAAAAATTAAGGTTGGTAGTGCAACTGGAAATTAACATTTTGTATCTACCTACCCTATGATAGGCTGTTTACTGAGGATGATAGCAGAAACACAAATATCGTTGTTTTTTGCTTAAATTGATTTTTCTTTGTACTGCAAAAGAACACTCTTAAATGATAAATACTGGAAGAATCAAATCTGTTTATTGTTTCTAGCTGATTGGTCTGTACTTATATACTGTTTTTGCTGATGCAGATATAGGTGAACTGATTTGAACCATTCACTGAACAATTCATTGGATGTTCATGTAAGTTGTAATGTATAATCATACATGAACAGTGTAAATAATTATATTTATGGTTGATGTTCCAGGGCAGTGTATACAGATCCGTGGTAGATGATGTCATATCTAACGTACGGGAAGCTTTCCTTGATGAGGGAGTAGATGAACAAGTTCTACAGGAGCTGAAACAGGTAAATTAAACCTCAACTACCAGTGTGTAGGTTAACAGTCAAATGGTTTAACTATTGCTAATCCGTCTTTGCGTATTGCAGAGTTATCTTCTCTTGAGAGCAGGTATTGATTGTTACGTCATTGGTTTGTGAGAGTAACGTCATCAATTTTTGAGAAAACGACGTAATTTTCTCACACAAACCAATGACGTAACAATCAATACCTGCTCTCAAGAGAAGATAACTCTGCAATAGGCAAAGACGGAATAATGTTACTATTTAAAGAAAATGCAAACATTTTACCAAGACTATAAAATATGTTTATAATTAACTCACGAAATAATATAGTTCAAGGTTGTGTTTTTGTGTTGGTTAAAATTTCTTGATTTTGAGTATGAAAGTAAAAAAACTAATGCTGGGAGATAATGACTCCAGATGCAAGTTTGACCTGCTGTGTGTTGTTTTGTAGCTGTGGGAAAGTAAGCTCACTCAGACTCGCGCTCTGGATGCTGCACCAGAGCCACAGGAGCCGGTCTCCCTACCAGCCACCATCCAGTACGCCCAATTTACTCCCCAGCAGACTGCTATTGCCCAGCCTGCAGGTAACTTTGGCGAAACAATTTATTGAATGTAAAGTCTATTTTTGAGAATTCCAACTTTTGTGGAATCTAATTTTCGTGGTTTGTCGTTTAGGCTTGTACAATTATACAGACCAAAATCCCATTGGACAAGTTGGAACGATTAAACTGCTTGTTGATCGGGACAAATTTGTTTTTTGTTTAAGATTTTTTTATTTTCATTGATAACAATGTTCAGTTTGTTGCTCTGTGACTTTCTTCATTACTGGTATCATATTACATTAATTAACTGGGGTACTTAATTTAATTTATTACATAATTTGTAAATATCACATTCAATGTTACTGACAAGAACTTGATAAACTTATCTCGTTCAACTCTTTACTGCCTGCAAAAGTTTCAAGTCATTACAGATTTACATTTTTATTGCATTATGATTTCAATGAAAGAAAAAGGAGACTTGCAGTCAAACTGGTGTAATTATTTACAGTGAGACCTGCAGGGATGCCCCACACTGTCCCGGTACCTGTACAGATAGCTGCTGGCAGTCATGGACAGGAGATTGTAAGTATAACATGATATTTTGAAATATTAACATGTACTCTGTATAGAGATGGCAGTACGTTTTATGAGACTGTAACACCTCTTGGTCAGTTGACCACTCAATTGTGATGTCACTGTCATGATCCGATTGTGACAACACGATTGTGACAACACCTTCGTTGCTTTGCTGAGAACTTCACGGACTGAGGTTAGGAGGATGTTAAAGTACTGAGGTTAGGAGAGTGAAATAAATAAAATGTAACTACTTTATGAAAATATAAATAAAAGAAGTAAGAACTTTTCCTACTTATATTTATATTGTTCTTCCTTAATGTTATCAGCTTGTGACAGAAAAAAATATGTCGCATATCTTTAAGAATTTTCTTTTTATGAAACCTGAAAATGGACTGTGATGGATTATTTGACTTGTAATAAAAAAGGTCATTCTGGTACCATACAAGAATTGATTAAATCATTCCTTTTATCAAAAGGTAATTACATCTTCAAGGGACAGCTAGGGAATCAGCATTAAGCTTGGTTATGTTATGGTCAGCACAGCATTAAATAATGATATTTTGAAAAGTGTTAGACAGGTCATGATCATTAGCATATTTAGTTGTGGTGGTCTCCCCTTGACCACGTTTTTTCTCTACTTTACCACATTTTTCCAGATAAACAAAAAATTCCTGTTGATCAAAAATTCACCTGATCAATGTTTTTATAGAAAGGAACATTTATTGTGTGTAAACAATATTTAATTGTGCATTGCAGAGCGCATCAGCTGCCACAGCTGCCATGGCCTTGCCTACTGGTCTGTTTCACCAACAGCTACAAACATTGGCTGCTCAGGGCTTGACACTCCATCCCACAGGTAAGTCCTTGACACTCCACTACACAGGTAAAGTCTGAGGACAAGCCATCCCACTGATCAATTTGTGATGCCCTACCCTTCAGGTATATCCCAGGGATCCGTGATACCTTACCCTTCAGGTATATCCCAGGGATTCGTGATGCCCTACCCTTCAGGTATATCCCAGGGATTTGTGATACCTTACCCTCCAGGTATATCCCAGGGATCCGTGATGCCTTACCCTTCAGGTATATCCCAGGTATCACAGATCCCTGGGATATACCTGAAGGGTAAGGTATCACGGATCCCTGGGATATACCTGGTGGGTAAGGTATCACGGATCCCTGGGATATACCTTACCCTCCAGGTATATCCCAGGGATCCTTGATACCTTACCCTTCAGGTATATCCCAGGGATCCATGATGCCTTACCCTTCAGGTATATCCCAGGGATCTGTGATACCTTACCCTCCAGGTATATCCCAGGGATCCGTGATACCTTACCCTCCAGGTATATCCCAGGGATCCGTGATACCTTACCCTTCAGGTATATCCCAGGGATCCGTGATACTCTACCCTCCAGGTATATCCCAGGGATCCGTGATACCTTACCCTTCAGGTATATCACAGGGATCCGTGATGCCCTACCCTTCAGGTATATCACAGGGATCCGTGATACCTTACCCTTCAGGTATATCACAGGGATCCTCCACTCTGCAACCCAAAGATCTTTCATCTAATCCAAGGTACCTTCCTCTGACAGATTAATCCATAATCTATATTTTAGAACCCACCATCCAAGGACTGTTCTAGTCATTGTCTGACCAAGATCTAACTAGTCATCCCACAGGAAAGTTCTGAAACATTCATCCCACACCATTCAAATTGAACAGTCCTGGGACCCTGCTAACATAGGTGAATCTCTTGGACTGTTCATCACACATAGATCTAACAGTTCTGGTGCAATCCGTTGATGGACAGGGTCAGACCCTTGAACTTGCATATATTTCAGTGATTTTTCCACCTCAGAGGCAAAGTCATCAAGGCTCAACTATTTCAATGATTTTATCATGTAAGAGCAACTAAATAGCAACTATTATTGAAGCTATTCTGTTCAAACGTGTTGCATCTTAGTGATACTGCAGTAGAGAACTAGTAATTTTCACAAAAAGGAGAATTCCTTCTTTAGGTCTTCATTATAAACAAGGCCAGATTATGAAATACAATGTGGCACATAATGTTAAAATAGCAACAATGCACAAATCTGTATAAATTGTTCAAAAACTTGAAATATTTACTTTCATCCTTTTTTGCAGGTAATGGTCAGTTTATAATCCAGGCCATCAATCAGGGTCAGGCTGGTCAGATGACGACCCTTGCAGCAGCCCAACAGGTCGGAGGTCAACCCATCACCACCATCCCCACTGTTGTACAGACAACATCTCGTCCACAGGTACAGCTCATCAAATTATCCTTATATTTCAGTGTAACCAAAGCAAATCCATATCTACAGGCATTCAGCACATTACGCTTCAAAATGGTGAATTTCTGAATGAGTATGAGAAAACTTGCTGTAGTTGAACCCTTCAAAATTAGTAGATAATAATTTTAAAGTTTGAAGTCATTCTCAATGTAATCATGATGGTGTACTTTTGAAAGGTGTTCTTAATCCAAGCTTGTTTTTCTTCTTACAAAAGGTCTCTGCTCAGAAATACATGTTTTGGTCAATTAGTGGCATTTTCATTTGAACACAACATTTGAAGTCAATGTTTTAGTTAGAATTAAATTGCTTTCCGGGCTTTTCTGCAGACAAATTATTTCTTGCCTTCTGTTCCACAGAATCCTCAAAATATACTACAACTTGATGGCGCCAATGATACAAGTTCCTCGGAAGAAGACGAATTTGAAAATGATGATGATGAAGAAGAAAATGAAGATGAAAATAAAGATGAAGATAATGATGAACCTGGAGAAGAAGAGGTGACTACTAAAACATGAAGCTGGATCAGTCTGTTATACTGTGACATCATTGTTACATCATGAATTTGCAGCAACCAAGGAAGACTAGTAGCTCAAATAAATGACATTTTTTTTTTCTTTTTGACACATAATCAACAGCATGTTGAACTTATAAAGGGTTACCTATAATATTTACAAAGCTCTGAAGCTTGTTTCATGAAAACAATATGGAAACTTGTTTAAGATCCTTTATATCTTCCTTTTTAACTCATATTCCCATTCTGATCATAGTAAACACATGGCTTTCCAATTTTGATCATACACACATAGTATACACATGTTTTTTCTACAAGAATTGGGTAAATGTACCATTATTTTCATTGAAATTGGAAAGATATTCCCCTATTTTCCTTTATTTTTGAAGAAAACGCAGTTCTGCTAGGGGAAGCAGCCTTTATTTGGATGTAAAACTAGGAAAAACCCATCACCGACATTTTATGAGAAGAAAAAGGGGAATTAAAATTTGTTTAAAAGCTAGGATACATTTAATAAAGTTGAAAAGGAAGAGCATTTTGCTGTATTAATAACAATTTTTGATGAATACTTTCCTTCTGTTGCATCGGGGGAGGGGGGGATACTTTTTTCTTGCATACTAGACCGAGTGCTGGAAAATTTTATCTGACCCACGGGTCTGGATAGCTTACATGCACAGACTGGCAGGGGAATTATAATGACATTTCTGTGTCTCGCTATTGTTTGTGACGTCATTTAATGATGTTTTGGGGTCAGTCAGGGTCATTGACGTCACTAACAATTGACATCAGGGCTTTATATGCAATTGAGAAATGTGCAGACATTTTACAACTTTACTAGAAGAGCAGCTGTTTTTACAGGTTTTATGTAAAAAGCAAATAATAGATTCCATCCCTGATGTGAGGTATGGATAAGGTAATACAAACCCTAGGGACAAAATATTGAGCAAAAGACCCTCAGCAGAAGCCTCGGGTCTCCTGCTCAATATCTTATTCCTTGGGTTTGAATTATCTTATCCTTACCTCACATCAGTGATGGATTCTTAAATCTATTAGTATACCAGGACATTTTCACTGCAGGGAAGTTTTTGCCACATAAGACCTATTTATCATTACAGCTAACAATTGGGAACACTATGATATGCATATAGTAATGAAATGTGAAGGGCAAATTTGGTATTGGACAAAAATGGATTTTAGCGTGGAAGGGTGAAAATTTCCTGGTAAACAGTATTAGGAAGGAGTGGGTGGAAATTTGTATATTTTGGCGTCTGTATGGGCCTTCTATAATATATATTGTGCTGATATTTAATCACCTTGCTATTATCTAGTTCTTCTATATAATGGAGATTGATACAACTCTTCTTTCTTTATCACAGGAACCGCTAAACTCGGAAGATGATGTCAGTGATGAGGATCCCATAGAACTATTTGATACAGAGAATGTTGTGGTGTGTCAGTATGACAAGGTCAGTAACTCATGTTGTCTCTATACGTCATACACCCACAGAAATGTCCTGTGGCACTCATGTCACCAACTCTGTAAAATAGCACGCAGTAGAAAGTTGTCCAAGTAAAACTTCAGTCTCTTCTAATGAGTATGTTAACAATCCTATACATGTATCAACATTGGGAGTTAAAAAATGAAACATGATTTTGAAAAATAAGCCTTTTTTAGTGTTCATTCGTTGAAAGAGGACTTGTATTGAAATTTGAAACTGAAATGATTGATTATAAAGTAAAGAAACTCTAAACCCATTAGGGCTGTAACGAAACACCGCGGTGCACCGAAAACCGTGCTATTTTGCTTCGGTTTGGTGTACGATATGTTTTTTCTGTGTTTCTGTTCGGTTTTTAGTATTACCTGACTTTCGGAATTTAACCATACATGTGTACCGTGAAATTTGATTGGCTATTATGATAAAAGCTGTACAATAGTTGTTGGTGTTACAAAACTTTGCATAAACAAACATGCAACATGGCGGAGCTTCAATTAAAAAAACCTCCCGCTCCCTTTCACTCGCCTTTTTGGCAGCATTTTGGATTCCGGCTAAATGTCCCCGATGGAAAATCACTATCCACTGCCGCATATGTTTTGTAGATGTAAGTTACAAGTCGGGGAACACATCCAAACATGGCGAGACATTTGAAGAGGAAGCATAACATTTCTTCATCCTGTATTGTATCAAAATGTATCGTATCCTGGGTAGATATCGTGATACGTATCGTATCATGGCATAGGTGTATCGTTACAGCCCTAAAAACCATACCTAATCGGTGAATCTTACCAATCTTTATATTCTTGTGTTGATGCTCAGCATGATTTGATTGATCTGGGTTCCACTTTGTTCTTTAAATGTGACAACTTTGTTTTACAGATCAATAGAAACAAAAACAAATGGAAATTTCATCTCAAAGATGGCATTATGAATCTCAATGGTAAAGACTATGTGTTCCAAAAGGCAACCGGAGATGCTGAGTGGTGATCTGTGAATCTCGTTAGAGGACTTGAGCAGCGCCAGACTTTCACGTCCTCGTTGTACACTGCCTCCCGCCCGGGGTGGTTATAACTCCCACGGAGCTGTGCTCGCATGTGGTGACTGCACAGTGAACGTTTGGGGGATGCTGAGAAGGAGGTGACTAACACAGAGTGGTGAAGGCCATTTGAAAGGTGCTATATGGGGATGGAGGGATGTCTTGTCATACTGCTGCAATACAGCTGTGTGTGTGTGACAAAAAGGCTCTTGAAACAGATTTAGTTTTAACACCCTAAGGTACTGGTGACAGTTTTGTCAACGATGAATTATTTACGGTTGTGTTAAACACAACTCAACTCCTGAGTTTTTCAAGAAATGGATGCTTTTAATGTTCATTTCAGCAACTTAGAAGTTGTTTTGGTGAATTATCTGTTCAACACCACAGATTATATGCATGTGCTTTTCTTCTGATTTTAGAGGGAAAAGCTGAACTTGGTCAATAATGTTTGAAGATTTTTTATAATATGTAGTCCTAGTGTTTTGTGATATTTATTGATTGTTTCTTTTTTTTTAAATAGATACATGTTTCAACCAAACTTCACATACATTTCCATGTTACACTTTCTCATTTTTCCATGCATAAACTTTTACAAAGACTTTCACAAATTGCTAAAATAAAATGTTTTTTTAGTCAAGCAATTTTCAGACACGTCAAATTAATCTCTGTAGTTTCATTTCAAACTAGCGTTGCTTAAATGTTCATTTAAGCATGTTGCTAATAATTCAACGGAGTTAACATTTAAAATTCATAAAATTGAAAGCATTCTGCATTATTAAACAATTAACTGTAATTATTTCCCTCGAGATTGATTTTGATTGAGTTGTTTTATAACTACTGGGAACCCGTTTGAAGGTTTAAAACCAATTGCTTTTGTTCCCCCCCTACCCCCAATTTTTTTTCTTCTGGTATTTCTGTACTAAATAGTTGATTTTGAGGTTGACATTTGGTATTGATATAGTGTATTAACTCTTTCATTACCACTGAACTGTCTTTTAGTGTCAGCAGTTTCCTGGTATTCACACTGAAATGGATATCTGGTACAGAAAGACTTAAGTAGCAGATATGTAGTATTGATCCTACAATATAACTTTTTTTTTTCCTCAACATTTTGAACTCTGTAGATGGTGTAGCTAGATGTACAAGTTTATTAGCTCACCTGGCACGAAGTGCCAAGTGAGCTTATGCCGTGGCGCGGCGTCCGTCGTCAATATTTTACTTTAAACGACTTCTTCTTAATAACCAAAAGGCCTAGGGTGTCAATATTTGGCCAGAAGCAAACTTGGATGAAGGGCTACAAAGTTCAAATAAATGACCTTCACCTATTTTCAAGGTCACAGTGGTCAAATATGTCAAAAACTTTAATCATCTTCTTCTCAATAACCAAAATGCCAAGGGAGATGATATCTGGCCAGTAGCATGCTTGGGTGAAAGGCTACCAAGTTTGTTCAAATGAATGACCTTCAATTATATTCAAGGTCACAGGGGTCAATTGTATTAAAAAACCTTTAAACAACTTCTTCTGAATAACCAAAATGCTCAGGGTGATGATATTTAGCCAGTAGCATGCTGAGGTGAAGTGCTACAAAGTTTGTTCAAATGAATGACCTTCATCCATATTCAAGGTCATAGGGGTCAAATATGTTAAAAACTTTTAAACAACTTTTCTCAATAACCAAAATGCCCTGGGTGATGATATTTTGCCAGTAGCAAGCTGAGATGAAGGGCTACAAAGTTTGTTCAAATAAATGACCTTCACCCATATTCAAGGTCACAGGGGTCAAATATGTTTAAAAACCTTAAACAACCTCTTCTGAATAACCAAAATGCCCAGGGTAATGATATTTGGCCAGTAGCATGCTGAGATAAAGGGCTACAAAGTTTGTTCAAACGAATGACCTTTATCCATGTTCAAGGTCACAGGGGTCAAATATGTTTAAAACTTTAAACAACTTCTTCTGAATAACCAAAATGTCCAGGGTTATGATATTTGGCCAGTAGCATGCTGAGATAAAGGGCTACCGAGTTTGTTCAAATAAATGACCTTCATCTATATTCAAGGTCACTGGTGTCAGATGTCTTTAAAATCTTCAAACAACTTCTTCTCAATAACCAAATGGCCCAGGGTACTGATATTGGGCCTGTAGCATGCTGGGATGAAGGGCTACCAAGTTTTTCAAATAAATGACCTTGACAAACTTTCAAGGTCACAGGGGTCCAATGTCAAAAAATCTTCAAACGACTTCTTCTCAATAACCAAAAGGGCCAGGGTACTGAAATTCAGCCTGTAGCATACTGGGATGGGGGATTACCAAGATAGTTCAAATGAATGACCTTGACCAACTTTCAAAGGTCAAAGGGGTCAAATGTCATAAAATCTTCAAACAACTTCTTCTCAATAACCAAATGGCCCAGGGTACTGATATTGGGCCTTTAGCATGCTGGGATGAAGGGCTACCAAGTTTGTTTAAATGAATGACATTGACCCACTTTCAAGGTCACTGGGGTCAGATGTCTTAAAATCTTCAAACAACTTCTTCTCAATAACCAAAAGGCCAAGGGTACTGATATTGGGCCTGTAGCATGCGGGGATGAAGGACTATCAAGTTTGTGCAACTGAATGACCTTGACCAACTTTCAAGGTCACAGGGGTCAAATGTCGTAAAATCTTCAAGCGACTTCTTTTCAATAAGCAAAAGGGCCAGGGTACTGAAATTGGGCCTGTAGCATGCTGGGATGAAGGACTATCAAGTTTGTGCAACTGAATGACCTTGACCAACTTTCAAGGTCACAGGGGTCAAATGTCGTAAAATCTTCAAGCGACTTCTTTTCAATAAGCAAAAGGGCCAGTGTACTGAAATTCGGCCTGTAGCATGCTGGGATGAAGGATTACCATGTTAGTTCAAATGAATGACCTTGATCCACTTTCAACCTAATGTCCTTGTTCGACAATCAAGGTCAGAGGCGTCATATGTTTAAATCTTTTAATAGGTTCTTATGAAATCTTAAGATTACAAGTGTTAGATTAATAACAGGTGAGCGATGCAGGCCCATTGGGCCTCTTGTCTGGTGTAGCTACATGTATAAGTTTATCTGGTCAGTCTGTATTACAAGAACCCCCGATTAGTACTACTTCTCTTCAGCATTAGATTTTACATTTTTGATATGATATCAATGTACATGTATGTATATGTGGATACGTTTTATTTTAATTGAAGCTTTTTCTTGATTGGCTACTTCTGTCCTTGTTGTGTGGGCTCAATAGCAATATTTTACCAGAAAAACAACAAATTTATTCGTTTCAGCTTGATTCAAATTACAAATTATTTGAGGTACATGTATCACACCATTGGAGCCAATTACTTGTTTCTTGGTGGCATTTGCTTTAACTTCGAAAACAGAAAACTTTTGATCAGTTTGTATACTTCTTATTGGGACATTATCAAAGAAGTAACGAGAGAATTCCAACAGGATTGAGGACTTAAGGAGCTGACGTTGAAATGTTTTAAAGTGCTACACTCCCTGTACATGTGTGTATTGTACACATAGTTTGTAGAATATTTGTCCACTTTGAATTATCTTAGAAAAGATTTAATGGATCACTTTAACTTGACTCATTTTATTTAAAACTGGTAACATCTTCTAAATGGTACTGACCAACTTCAACAATTTGAAGATTTGAAGATCTTAACTCCTATTAGAACCTACATTGTACTTTTCAGTTGGTACTTGTAGGATTTGAGTGATGACAATCTGATTCTAGACTAATAGTATCTGAGAGTTTGGTGCATGGTATTGTTTTCTGTTTGTTTGTGCCTGACGTCCTAACTATTAACAGCTATGGTCATCTAAGGACTTCCCAGGGTTTGGTGGTGACAGAAAATCTAAGTAGCTGGGGGGAAAACGACCAACCTGAGGCCAGTACTAGTGACTGCCCAATGAAGGCCTCAAAGCTGTGACCCAGTGGTGGAGGATTAGTGATCGTAGACAGTCAGACACCTTAACCACTCGGCTACCGCGGCTCACGTTATAGGTGATGGTGATTATACATATCAATGAAGTGTTGTGGGTAGCAGCAACTTAAGTTCTCATATTTGAAGTACATATACCAGTAAGTTAAATTGTTTGTTATTGAATCACCGTGTTGAGGTGATCTTAGGGCACAGGCATCTCCATCCAATACAAAGGGAAACTTTTTACAATATGTCAGTTTCGAGAATTGTAAATGCTTTTCAAGTTTCCATAGTTACAAGATACCAGTACTAGAATAACAGCAGATATTAGGAAATATTCATTTTTGAACACATGGACGATGCTAACTGGGTAAAAAAAATGAAAATACATGTACTAAAATGTGATCAAATATATCTTATCTTAAATACAGGGGAGGACAAATTTATGTTTTTTCTATAAACATTATTAAGAAATGAACCTCGTAGTTAATCTATCATTATTACACTATGCTTAATCATGTCTGACTGTCAGATCAAAGGGAGTCAGTCTGTAGCACTTGTATGGTTGTTTGATTATAGAGGATAACAAGAACATAATCGTGAGTTTATTGACTTGTTTGTGTCTATGTAAAGGCTGGTACTGGCTTCTGTTTTGTGTTGTGCCTTGTGACATGTAGCACATTATCTGAATAGCGTCATGTGAATAATTTGTTGATCAATCATGTTTCATTGCCAAATTAGGCACAAAGTGTATATGGCTCGCCGATGCCATCTTTCAGAAACACCCTTGAACTAGTCACCACTGTAACATGTTCAGCTACTGAATACAGACGAATAACAAAACAATGAAATTTGTATATATCCTTATTTTTGCACTTTGAAATCCACGATGCATCCATGACTTTACTATGCACTGTGTTTCTAAATCTTCATGCAGACATTCTTATTCTCAATACTGAATTTAGTGTGATTGCATTAGTGAATAGATCAATATTTTTGCAAGCGAATGATTAGATATTCACATTTCACTTACATATCAGCATATCTATGTAAACAGAATTAATATCTTCCTTTAGCGTTCAACCAATCTGGTACATGTCGGATTCTACTTGGTTAAATTGAGTCTGTAGTACTACACATTAGAACCTATTTTTGGTAAATCACACAATAGAAAATACTCTGTGCAAAAATGTGAAGTAAATTTTTTTAACAATTATTTATGTTCAGCTGTGAAACCACTGTTTGATAATGATTTGTTGTCAGCTTTTAAACATTTGAAGTTGCACAAACATGTATGCCACTTCTATAGTTCTATTAACAGGTAGTAATGCCACGGCTTTATCAATGGAAGTGAAGTTTTTAAACGTACAGTGATGCTACCATTCGTCACCATTTGTGGGGTAACACCTTCAGTAAGGTATAGAGCGCTAATTAACAAGGACCTATTTATGAAACAAATTATTTCAACTTATGATATTAATCACTCTTGCTGGCCTGGATGTTAGTACGAGGGGGTCTTAATGAGGGAGGAAACCGGAGTACCTGGTGGTCTGGCCGGATGTTAGCGCCGTGGGGTCTTAATGAGGGAGGAAACCGGAGTACCTGGTGGTCTGGCAGGTGATCACCTTAAACCTTTTCAATTCCGATCAGGGAATCGAACCCCGGCCGCCTGGGTAAAAGGCAAGTGCACTGTGCCAACCGACCACCCCCCAATTTGGAAATTACAAGGATAAAAACATGGATCACAAATGGGGGTAGATGGGGAAACAGTGACAGATTTTACAGATCCTAACATCCTCAATACTTCAAATGACTTGTATAGAGGCAAACGTATAGGAGGATAGTCCATTGAAAGAGTTGGGAAAGCAGTAGTGGGCTTATTTCTGATTTTAATCCTTTATATGGGTAGAACTTTCTGTGATCCATATCTAAAAAATTTGTATACAAAAAATGAAGCTAAAGCATTATTGGGTTTACACTGATACATCTTGTACACATCAATACAGTGAACAGTGTATCAGTTTCCTCTACATTGTGTGTGTGTGTTAGAAGTCATCACCTCATTACTGACAACTTGTGGAGAAATTGTTTTGACTGATGTATACCGGGTAAGCAAAGAAACATTGAATTTCCTGCATATATTTTTGCTAATGGCAAACAGGACAAGAAAGTATGGAATGCTTTTGCCAATCAGTATAACTTCATGTGACTGGAGATTCATTCGCAATGCTGTTGGAACTCTTTTGTGTTGGTTATAAGAACATTTT